TGCGTTTAAAATCCATTGCAAAATATGACTCAAAATAATTTTCATCATTGTTGCATTTGAGGGCGATGAAGGAAATGACTCACTATCTGTTTGAGTGATGAAACTATTTCGCAGATGTACTAATAACATCAGCACTGTTCCGGATACTAAAGTTTTAATCTCGCTTAAAGCTTCGCAAGATGTCATCTTTTGTAATAAATCATGGGATAGATTCAACAATAAATTCTGCTTTTGAGGTGTAGGAAGTTGTTGATTTGTTGCAACACAAAATAATATTTCTGTTGTTTGACACCAACCTTCTAAAAATTTTACTGTAGCATAAGATAATAATTTTGTTTGGTTTCTTTCTAAAGCGTATTTTAAAATTTTCTGTACTTCATCTTGCATAGGATTACGTTGAGTAGCAATTGCACTACTTTGAGTAACAGCTAATTCCTCAGTGATAATGGAATATAATTTTTTAATTTCTATAAGTCGAGGACCTCCTACTAACGCAACGGGAACACTACATCGTGCAAAAACCATTTCAACTTGTGATGGATCAAAGAAATCTAAACATAAAGATGACTCCAATTGAAATTGAAATTCAATATAATGCAAAAGATCCATCAGAAGTTTCTGTGATGGTACAATTTGTCCTTTTTCTTGACCAAAGTTTCCAACTAATCGTTGAATTAAAGAATTCTGTGAACTTCCACCAGCAACTCGTAATTCAATTGCGGCTATTTTCAATAACCATGACATGCAACCAAGTTCTATTATTGTGTTCCATCCTTCAAATGGTAATTTTGAAAGATGTCTCTGTATAAAATCTTGATTTGCACTAGTTCGTAAAAATCTTAAAACTGAAACAAATGTCTTGCTGTTTTCAGCTAACATATAAAGAAGACAATAACAAGCCTCTGTTATTTTGTCACGACCACGTTCAAGAGATTGTTCTAAAATTCCTAATATTGAATGTAAACATGTACGAGGAAATCCTAGAATACCGGGTTGTTGTAAAACAGTTTTTTTGATATCTTTAGTAATTTCAAAGCCTAATAGATAGTGAGAGAGATTTGGAGTAGGTCTTCTAAGGCTTTGCATCATTAAAAGTAAAATCCGATTTTTGCAACTACCAGTATATTGTTTTTCATTTTCAGTATCTTCATCTGCATCCAAGCATTCCACAAAACCATGTCGAATATTCGTAGCTAAAGCAGGAGTAGCTGTAAACATAGAAAGTAACTCAGAATCTGCTCCTGGTTCATTAGTCACTTCATAAATAATACCGACAGCGTGAAATGCATGTTGCGGAAGCCAAGAACTGTACGAAACATATTTAGCAATATTTATCATATAATCAGGCCTTTTTGATTGTGGATCCACTTCTAAAAGTAATCTTGATAATCCGGTCAAAATTGTATGTATAGATTTTGCAGCAGCTGATTGAGCCATATAGTTATGTTGTGTATTCAATCCTCTTTCTAATATTTCCAAACAATACAAAGTGCTATTTTCAAGATTTTTTTTACCAGGAAAAAGTTCATAAGTATCGAAATTAGTGCAACCTTTATCAAGAATATATAATATAACATGAAGTAATTCAGATTTGGAATGTAATTGAGTCATAATGTAATAACCAGAATTGACCATTGTAACTTCTCCGCTTTGAAGTTCCACTTTACATCCAGTAAAATCTTCTACAGCAGGCTCATATTGTTTAATAAGCTTTAAAAATATTTTTAAACAAGCTTCTGAAACTTCCCATTTTTCTCCTGGATTTTTATATGATCGTGTATGAAATTTTAAAAAAACAGTATTAATTATAAAACGCAAGTACTGATCAAAACCGGGATTACGCTGCCCCATTCCCGATAATCGTAATATAGGAAAGTTAGTGAGAACATCTAAAAGTTCAAGCATTGCTCGCGTTAATGGATATTCATCTTTTTTCGATTCAATTTCTTCTAATTCAGTTTGAACTCCTCTTGGTTGATAGCTGCTTATTGTTGGTATATTTGGAACTATTTGTGCAGCTTCTAAACTTTGCCATACTGTGAATGAAGTTTCAGATGACATTACTAATGCAGCAAGTGTTCTTATTAAAACACTCTTCAATGGAATAGATATTCCACAACTGACTAAGCCTATCAAAGATGGTATTACTTTCCATCCTGGATGATAATATATATCTCTTCTTAATCTATCTTCTATGTCATTTTTTGCAATCACTCGAACAACCAATAAGACTGCTTCAAGACCTTTAACTTCTTCAGGTGTAATGCCTTTGGGATGGCTTCTTTGACGGTAAACAGTATCCTGACTGGGAGGCAATTCAGTTCTAAGATTATCATAGTACAGGTTTAAAGATTTGAAAAAGTGATCCCAAGAAATTGTTGTTGATCCAGAAGATCCTATAAATATTTTTTTGTTTTAATATTTTTTAATTAAAAAAACAACAAATAATATTCCATAAAAAAATAAATATTTACCATTTGGTTTTAAAAAACTAAATGCTTGCTTTGCTGCTTCTGGAGAACATGCAAGAGATGCGATCATCTTAAGATATGGCACAAATAATCCTGCTGGTAATATTTCACCTGCGAGACGTACGAATTTAAAAAGAGCAACTTCTCTAGAAAGTGAGCGCTTAATATGTGCAGAATCGGATGTATGCGTGGAATCAGTATAACACCAATAATCATTAACTAACTTCAGTTTTAAAGGATCTTCTTTATATAATTCTGCTATTGTTAACATTAAATATTCAAAATGATTATCTAAATTTAAAGGTGGTTCAATACCCTCTTGTTGATACGCCTGAATCAAACGCATAGATTCATCCGCTCGACTTCGTAAATCTTTAACTTTTAAAGGCATCAGCAATATAAAATCAGAAATAAGAGAATGAAAATAACGAAGATAAAATTCTTCATAATATATGCTTTTGTTCTTAAATAATATTTCCGCCATAAAATGAAAACATTTATTTGTTAAAGCTGCTTCCAACAATCTCTCATCTTCTGTGGTAATATTCAAAATTTGTATGTTAGCTGCAGTTTTTATTGTTGTGAGAGCAACTGCAAAAGCAAATTGTATAATCCCACGTAATCCAGCACATTCCCAATTAATATTAGGTGTTATTAATTTTTGATATAGTTCTTCATGTGCTCCTCTTTCCAAAATTAATGGCATGGAATTAATCAATTCTGAAAAAAAAATATTAAATCAGAAATTGTAATATAAAAATTATATTTATAATTGATAAAAAAATATACCTTCACCATTCTCACGAGTAGAAAATGAACTAAAATTGATTGCATTTAACACACTCATTATAATAGCAAGTGTGACCTTATCTGGACCTTTTTCATAGGCTTCTGGTCCAATTTGTTTTGTTTGTAATAGAGATAATAAACGAAATAAAATTGAATTTGGCAATGAAGATTGTGCAGACCACAAATATAAAATGTCTGCCAAATCTTGTCTAGAATCATTATAAAGTTTCATAACCATATATCGATGTTTTGGTCCACCTAAAGCTCGATTTTTTTCCAATAGTTCTTGTTCTTTTATAGGATCCATTTTTTCTAACAATGATAAAATTCTATCTAATAAATCATCTTGTAATTTATTCATATATTCTGTAATATGTCTCAAAAGAGCAAGTGAAGCATCAATTTTCCAACTATGTCCCATTCTTGCTTGTACAAGCATTCTTAAAGTTGATGTAAGTGCTTTTTTCCCATCATAATATAATAAAATAGCTGTTAATCCTCTGGGTAAACTAGGATGATAAGGCATTTGCAACTGAGCAGTGCATAAAAGATCTAATGCCATAAACTCATTAAGTTTATACATATCTGATATAATAAGAGTTTCATCAACCAATTCTTTTGATAATAACTGATGCCCTAAATCAGGAAGTGTAATACCATCTGTAGCTCCCTTTATTATTTCTTCTCTGCTGTTTTTATTTGGAGGCTATAATAAAATATATCATATAATATAATAATTTATAATATTTTTATTATTATTTCATATTTAATATTATAAATATTTGGTTTTATATAATCACTTACAGGATTTTCTAAAAGTGTTAAAAAATTTTGCCTATGATTACGTAGAGTTTCTGTAAATTCATGAAGATCATGAGTTGTTGAAGAAGAAGTAATATATCGTTCTACAAGATTCTGTAATTCTTTATAAGATGTCCACATATCTTGTGTGGTTCCTTTTTCTATAAAATATATTTAAATAAATTTTTTTATTAATAAATTTAAATAAATAATAAAATAAATTTTTTTATTAATGATTAATGTAATTATTTAAATTATTTTTCTTATATTTTTAATTTCTTATATTATAACTGATATAAAAAATATGTTAATAAAAAATATATAATTAATCTTAATAATTATTGATTAAAAATGATTTCTATATAATTATATGATACAAATTATTGCACATGTTATAATGAATATAACATGAAATGTATTAAGATTTATAAAATATAAAAATTGTAAATATAAATATTCACATAAATTAAGAATTACCTTCAGACATTTTTTTATGATAAATAGGACGTTATAAAATTGAAAATTTGGCGAAACAAAATATTATACTTATATAAATATAATGAAAAGAAAGAAATATCGTACGACATAATACAAATATAAGGCTTTTTGGCGGAAACAACGGATTGATAATTATAAACCATTGAATAACTATATAAGATAGTGCATGTAGTAAATACATGCATTTGTTACTGCAAATGCGTTTTATTTTAAATAGTTACTTAAGAGGGCGTATTCAAGTTAGTATTTTAATTTTTAATTGAAAAGATTAATTTAAAATTTAGTATTTATCTATTTTTTTATATTTAATTATATTTTATATTTGAACAAAACATCTTTTTAATTCTTTTTTTTTTACAATGAATATATTTATATGAACTAAATATTTTGTTTTTTCTTATCATATGTAGATAGCATGCAATGTAGATAGTATAACTAGTAATCAAATTTAATCTATGCTTTTTTCTTTCAAGTTGCAATGTTTCTGAGTTAGTCATTTAAATGACATTATTATTTTATCAATTTTCTTATATTATAAAATTTGTAAGTTTGTAAGTTTATATCACAGTTATATAATATATATAAAAATACAAAAATGTACAATGCGGAATAACTAAATATGTAGTATAAAATATACATATGTCGCCGGCCGGTAATTTTGTGTACGTGGTCAGTTCTTAGAGAAACTATGATTTAAACTTGTATTATATTTGTTTAATATGTAACTGTTATGTTACGTTGATGTAATATTTATATAATTTTGTTAATTAATTTCTTAATTAAATGGACGACATTTTTTATTTTTATTTTTACGATATTATAACCTATTACTTAATTGCAAACGCCATGTGTCTTTTGTTAGTTTGTTAGTTGTTCATTGATACGATTTTATAATTTTTTATTTATTATATTGAGAGTTTTAACATGATTTTTTTTAAAGTATTTAATTGTTTTCTGCATATCAGACAATTATAATTTATATTTTAACTAAAATAAATTTAATATTAATATAAATGCTTTTTATTCTTTTTCTATAGATAAGGCAAATAAAAGTGGTACATTACTTAAAAACTAATATTCTATAATTTCATCAATACAATGGTCACATTAATAAAAACAAGAGGTTTACGTATGTCTGCACAGAAACAGGAAACACTTTTAAAGTTAACTGTGTTATCTCTTGCAGCAATTTTATGTAAGTTTTTTATATTGAAATTAAAATATTTCTATTTTATTAATATATATAATTTTTTTTTATAGCTTTTGCAACAAGATTATTCTCTGTCTTAAGATTTGAGAGTGTTATTCATGAATTTGATCCATATTTTAATTATCGCACAACAAAGTATTTAGCAGAAAATGGATTTTATAGTTTTCATAATTGGTTTGATGATCGTGTTTGGTATCCTCTTGGAAGAATAATTGGAGGTATATATATATATTTTTATATTAATTTTTAATTGTTATCTCTTTTGATGACAATATTGTTAAAGTAATTTGAATCTTGATTATTTATTTAATAGGAACAATATATCCAGGATTAATGATAACATCAGCAGCATTATACCACCTTTCATGGTTATTAAATATTACCTTAGATATACGTACTATTTGTGTCTTCCTTGCTCCATTATTTTCTAGCTTGACCACAATTATTACTTATTTACTTACCAAAGAATTGAAGGTAAAAATATATTAAATATATTTGTAGTATTTTTAATGAATAAATATTATTTTATATATGATTTTAAGGATTCTGCATCAGGATTGTTTGCTGCAGCTATGATAGCAATTGTTCCTGGTTATATATCACGATCAGTGGCAGGATCTTATGATAATGAAGGCATAGCTATTTTTTGTATGTTATTTACATATTATATGTGGATCAAAGCAGTTAAAACTGGAGCAATTTGTTGGGCAACCTGTGCTGCTCTTGCATATTTTTATATGGTGTCTTCTTGGGGTGGCTATGTATTTCTAATTAATTTAATTCCTTTACATGTATTAACCTTAATGGTGACTGGCAGATTTTCTCATAGAATATATATTGCATATAGTATTCTGTATTGTTTAGGAACAATTTTATCTATGCAAATATCTTTTGTTGGTTTTCAACCTGTTCAGAGTTCTGAACACATGCTGGTAAGTAAAAAATATGTGTATATATATAATAATATATTTAATAATATACTTATATATAATATATACTATATAATATATGTACTTAATTTAAACAAAATCTTATGAATAAACTAATTTATATTTTATATAGGCATTGGGAGTGTTTGGACTTTGTCAAATTCATGCTCTAGTTGATTATTTACGTAGTAAAATGTCACAAGATGATTTTGAAATTTTATTCCGTGGTCTTGTTATTTCTGTAGTTACCATATCATTTCTATTAGGTGTTATTTTAACTATTACAGGTATATATAATATTAATACATTTTTTTTATCTATCACAAATCTTATCTTTCTATCACAAAAATATTAATGTTGCAATAATTATGTTTTAATTTTTTAATTTTTTTAATTCTATTTGAGGAAAAATATCACCATGGACTGGTCGTTTTTATTCTCTTTTGGATCCATCCTATGCAAAAAACCACATACCAATAATTGCCTCTGTTTCTGAACATCAGCCAACATCATGGAGTTCTTTTTATTTTGATCTCCAGATTTTAGTATTTCTATTTCCTTTAGGATTATATTTCTGCTTCTCAAAGCTAACAGATTCGAATATTTTTCTCATTTTATATGGAGTTACAAGTCTATACTTTGCTGTAAGTGAAAAATCTTTCTTTGTTATATTTGAAATTTATATTATAAATAATTGAAACAATTTTGAATGCAGGGTGTAATGGTTCGTCTAATGTTAGTGCTTGCTCCTGTAATGTGTATTTTGAGTGGAATTGGAGCATCCTCTTTACTTGTTACTTATATGAAACAAGTAGAAAGAGGAAAAATTAGTGATAAGAAGTTAAAAAAATTTGAAAGTAATTATATACTTAGAAGTGAGGTAACTATTTGATTATTTTTATTTAATATTAATCTTTTTTGTGAAATTTTATATCAACGCATTTTATATCAACAGATTGCTACACTCTTCATAACAGTAATGTGCATTCTCTTTTTTTCGTATACCATTCATTGTACATGGGTTACAGCAGAAGCCTATAGCTCGCCTAGTATTGTGTTATCGGCACGTTCTCCAGATGGTGGTCGCATGATTTTTGATGATTTTAGAGAAGCATATTATTGGTTACGCATGAATACGCCAGAAGTAATTTTTAAAATGCTTTCTGAATAATTTTTTTATAATTTGCAATGTTTAAAATCATATTTTTTAAAATTTTAGAATGCTAAAGTAATGTCTTGGTGGGATTATGGATATCAGATTACAGCAATGGCAAATCGTACAATTTTAGTAGACAATAATACATGGAACAATACTCACATATCAAGAGTTGGTCAAGCAATGGCAAGTTCTGAAGAAAAAGCTTACGAAATAATGAGAGAGCTAGACGTTAATTACGTTCTTGTTATTTTTGGAGGACTTACAGGCTATTCATCAGATGGTATTAAAATTAATATATAAAGTAAATAAAACTATAACTTAAAGTTGTTTAAGAACTTGTTAGATTATAATTTTAGATATTAACAAGTTCCTATGGATGGTGCGTATTGGCGGAAGCACTGAAAAAGGAAAATCTATAACAGAGTGGGATTATTATAATTCTGCAGGAGAATTTCGAGTTGATAAAGAAGGTTCTCCAATTTTGCTCAATTGTCTTATGTATAAAATGTGTTACTACAGATTTGGTCAAATTTATACAGAAGGAGGTAAACATTTATTGATATAAATATAATGTTGTATAGCATTTATATAATTTCAATGATTTTATGATTTAAACAGGAAAACCTTCTGGTTATGATAGAGTTAGAAATATGGAAATTGGTAATAAAGATTTTGAATTAAACATGTTAGAAGAAGCCTATACTACAGAACATTGGCTTGTTCGGATTTATAAAGTAAAAGACTTGAGAAACAGGGGAATCTAAAAAAAGATATTAAAAATAAAAATATAGATTAATAATAAAGAAGTAATATTATTGCATCTCTAAACAGTTCCATAATTTTATTTGCTTATAAATTTTTACAATTGATATCAACATGGTACTAAATACAAAATTACATATTTCCATTAACCATTAGTATAATTAAAATTTTTATAAAAGACATACTCAGGCCTCACTATATGTTATTTTAATAAATATAGATATATCAATTTATAAAATAATTTATTTCGGGAATAATCTTTATATTCTCTCTCTCTCTCTCTCTCTCTCTCTCTCTCTCTCTCTCTCTCTCTCTCTCTCTCAAATTAAAAAAACACAAACAGCATATTTATTTCAATAACATTTATAAAAATATACTAATATTTATAACTTAACTTAAGAATATACAGAATATAATTTTTTAGGTTGAATATTCTTAGAAAAGCATTTATTTTAATATTAAATTATTAAATGATTAATATTAATATTAAATTATTAAATTATTAAATGATCCCTGTGTTCAAAGATAATGATAATTTTCGTAATTATTTCTTATATATACAAAAATAAATTGGTTACTTATAATTATTGAGAATTAATAGTAAAGGCTTTATTTTATACAATATTAATTATCTAGATATAGAAAACAAATTTGCATTAAAAGAAATTTGTTTGAATAAAGTAAAATGATATATCCCAAATTTGAAAATTGTTACAATCCTCAATAGTATTATACAATTTAAAATTGATTATGAATTCGGATTATAGCTGCATATATATATATATATATATATATATATATATAACCATCAGTATATTTTAAAAACGCATGCCTTGTATCGTATGTTGCTTAAAAATTGTAACTAATATTAATCTTTATTTTGTGGATGTGTACAAACATGTGTGATTTCTTGGTGAAAATGAAAATAAATATAAACAGATAAAAGTCGTTTTTTATACATACATTTTATTCAATATATTTTACAGATTGTAAAACCTTTAAAACTTAAAGATTATGAAATATGAAGTTATTTCAGAAATATAAACTAATATGAATTGCAATAATGTTTATACAATTATTATAATTATCTTACTTTTAGCAATATTTTTAATTTAAGAAATATAGGAATGCAAACATTCATTTAAATAATAAATTTATTGACCAGTGCATAATAAAACTTCAGTTGCAAATTTATTTACCTTCTAATAGACCATAAAGGATCTAACTGACTTAAAGGATCGATTATTCCTTCTTTAGGTTTTTCCTGAATTGACGATGTACTTGAATGTATTGTACTAGTAACAGTAGAACCTTTTTGTCGACCTAAAAATTAATCTGTGTCATTATATTTTTTTTAAAAAATATTGCTTTATACCTTCAATATCTGATCGTTGAGTGATACCAAGACTTTGAAGAAAATCATCAGAAGGATGCATTTTTCTTGATGCTTTATCTTTACTTCCTTTTAAACCTTCGAAATTTTCAAATGTTGAACGTGTAGATGATAAAATACCACCTAATATTTAATAAACAAAATTTTCAACTAATTTTAAATTGTATTAATCTAAGAAAAAATAATCCTTACGTTTCATTAAAATATCTTGAGCATGATATAATACTAATTGGTATGCAAATAATAAGGATTCCTTATTTACAATTTGTTTACGGCATTTTAAAAGACCTTTGAATACAAGAGGTACATTGACTATTCCACAACCTGCGCGTATATGACATACTGTTGCTGCTGCTACTAAGAATAAACTACTTAATGCACCACCATCTAAACAGTGTACCACTACTGGTTTTGTACAACGTCTTAGTGCTTGTTCCGTCATTACATCCGTTGAAAAAGTAAGCAGTGCACCTGGACTACTAGGAAAACCACTAAAAGTTAAAAAAAATTATGTATATATATTTTTTTAATATAATTTAATATTATATAAATTTACTTGGAAGGCCATGAGAGAAATTGCATGTGTACGATAGTTTTTTCTAAGTTTTTCTTAATATTATGCACAGAAATAACTCTTTGAATATAGGATATATGATTTACTCTCTTTTTTAACGATATTGTAAAGCTACCACAATTCAGAATATCTTCTTCATTTATAGGCCAATATATTTCTCCATTTAATTGTGTATCAGATACTAAACATGCAATTATTTCACTTTCTTGTTCCCATATCATCATCCAAAATATTTCTAATTTGTCCGGTAATGGCGATTGAGTAATAATAAATGCAGTTGGTATCCATTGTGTAATTTCTATTATATGAGAAGCATTAATATAATTTGAAATATCTGTTGATGATATTTGTACTCTTGTCGTATCATATGGGATACATTCTATTACTCTATTTTCCGAAGAATGAGCTAATGCTACTGTGCACGATTGTTTTCCAGTTTCTCTTTCCTGAAATTCAAATATATTATTTTATGTTATTAATTAAGAATTTATAAAAATTTTATAATTTAAATAATCCTACTTCGAATTCTTGGACTTCTTTCCATTTTATATCAAGATTAGTTGCTCCACTTAATGTTTTAACAAGTAAACTATCTATAAATTTCTCATATTTTTCAACTTCATTAATAAATTTTTGTAATGCTAATGGATCTCCTAAAGGATCTTTTTTAGGTTGCACATCATTGTACCATGTATCCCATACAATTTGTAAATTCTCGTTCTCCGTTTTATCATTTATTTTATCTTTATCATCGTCATTCATCTTTTCTTTATCATCATCATTTATCTTTTCTTTATCATCATCAATATTTTTTATTTCAGTTTCGTTTTGTGGTTGAACAGAACGTACTTCTGGCACTAAAGGTGCATGATTTATAGTAATATCAAGATCAGCAAGTAAATCTATATTAGATTGTTCTGATTTTGTAGCAGGTTTAGTAGGATTTGCATTTGTTGTATTAGTTCCATTGTTAACAGCTTGCATATATGTTTGATTATAATTAGTATAATTTTCATTTCTGTTAGTTGACGCTAAAAAAAATTAAACGAAATTTAAATAAATATATATAAAATTGATGTATACATAAAAAGATTTTTTGATATTTACTTTGATTTTGCATTTGAAGACCATATGGTGTGGTATAATAAATATCAGTTGAACATTGAGATTGAGTTTGTTCTGAATATTGAGAAGATGGAGTTTGACTAACCATAGAATTATTACTAGCATTGGTATATCTTGCATTACTTTCTTGTTGTTGATAAATATTAATGCCAGTGTTTATTTGTGATGTTGATTCAGAAGATTGCGAAATTTGAATATTATTAGGATTGTATTCATAACATTGACTAGTAGAATTATAAGTATATCCCATTTGACCTTTATAAGATTCTGTCAATGCAACAGCCATTTGATTTCCTTGCATATAATTATATCCTTGATTGTAAATATGAGAATAGTTACCATATCCAGAGTAATGTGATTGTTGTGGATATTGATATGCTTGAGAGTAATTTTGCAAATTTGTTGAAGATTTTGTATGACTTTGAATCATTTCTGTATTAGTAGAACAATTCGTGTATGTATATGTGTTAGAAATATCTGTAGATAATATAGTTTGTGGATATGAAACACATGTAGTATGTTGTAAATTATGATAGGTATTGGAGTAAGTTGCACTACTGGTGTCAGTAGTAGATGTTTGTGATCCATATTGATACCCTTGATCTATATAGATCTGTTTACTTTGTTCTGTACCACTTTGCTGTGGATATTGGACAATATTGGAATTTTGTAAGGTTGATGAATATAAAGTACCTACATCATTTATTGGAGCATTGAAAGAAGTAGTAGAATGAATAGATTGAGGAATATTTTTGTTTATGTATTGTGTTGGCATATAATGGCTAGAAGGAGGAATATTGGTCGTTTCGGCTAAATTTTGGTTCGATGTGATTTGTTGATTATGCAACTCGGATGAATTATAATATATTGCACCAGTGTAACTTTGAGTACACGGAATTTCATTTTGATTAATTGAAGGAAGAAGATAGTTTTGTATTTGAGTATTATCTGATGGTAATACATGTTGATCCTTTATAGAAAGAGATTCTTGAGAAACAACATTTTGTTGTGGCTCAGATATATATTGTTGTCCTTGTTGAGTTATAGTAGTATAAAGTTGCGTTTGTATATCAGTTGTTTTATTAACTGTATTCGGTAGAGATACAGATGGAAGTACAGAAATTTGTGTTGTTGTTGATATTTGGGATGGTATTTCAGTTTTAATAACATTACCAGTTTTATCAAGATTAGAAGAATATTGTTGTACAGTATTGTATGGCTGATAATTTTCATATTGCAATGTATTATTAGAAAAATTATAAAGTGATTGAACATTAGTAGAATATTTATGATGACTATCCAAAGTTGTGGAGAATTGTCCATTTGATACGAAAGAATTTATTGGATATTGCATTGTAGTATCTGTTGTAGTAATTGTTCCAATTACTTGTGGATAAGTACTTACAATATCAGAACTATTAATTTGTACATAATTTTGATTTAAAGTGGCATTTTCGTTATATGTTGAAGTTTCATGTGAATAAGATAAATTTGTTTTATAATCTGTATATGGTGCAGAATAATATTGCTGTGTAGATTTTATAGATGATATTGCATCCAATGCAGACATTCCACTAGAATGCATTGCATTTTTATTCAAATTTGATGTATCATTCAAGTATGATTTTGTTGTATCTATTTGAACTGGTTTACCTTGTTCTTTATATACATTATAATACTGATTTTGAATATTTTCTGGTCTGCTGTTTAAGTAATCCTTTAATTTAAGTCCACTGCCAGTTCGATTTCGACTTTGATCATAAATAGTGGATGTTATTGTGTCCATCTTTTCTTGAGAATTTTTATTATTATCTTGTGCAAGTATATGTTCACGTTCTTCTTCTTGCACTTTACAAGTGCTTTTCACTCTTTGAAGTAATTTCGAAACATTTATTTCTAATTTCCTGTAAAATTCAAGACCTTTGCTAGATTTTGCCAATAAATCTTCGTAAGCATCGTAAGACGTAATCAAAGAAGAAATAGTATGTTCTCTACGTTTTAATATTTCTTCAACTCCTTTTCGTATATTAGCAGTTTGGGCATATGCATCCGTTAAAGCTGCTAAAATATTGTCTTGTGCAGTTAGATTTTGTTCTATTAAAGTTACTAAAGTTTGATGTTTGCTAAGTTGGTCTGCAAATAAACGATCCAAGGGTCCAGAATCGGATGTGGCAGTAACTAGTAAGCGTGTTAGATCATCCTGTGCAATTGAATCTCGTAATTTTGTATGCAATTCGTTTCTTTGTCTACGCATTTCGTCAACTTTATTCAAAATGCGTTTCAATTCTTTAGTATGCATTCGTTCTAATTCGATCGCGCTATGTGATTTTTCAGTATTTTGTTCTGAAAGATATGCACTTGGTGAAGGAATATGGGCAATAAGATCGGTAAGTGGTTGAGAAAGCACTTTTAAATTTTTTACATGCATCGTTATTGCTTTATGAAGAGCATGATTGCTTTCTAAAGCTTTGTTATGAGCTTCTTCATATTTCTTAGCTTCTCTAGTTAAATCAGTAGCTACTATTGACGGAGGTCTTTTTCCAACTGTATCTTGATATTCTTTTTCTTTCTGTTCTTCATCGAGGAGAAGTTTTTTAATTTCTTTCAATATTTTTTCAACGTCTTGACTAGTATTTGATAATTTTCCTACTATATCAATTAAATCTTGAATAATATGTTGCTTTGCATTTAATGCTGCACATCTTTCGACCAATTCATCAGGAAGAGGTAAACGTTCCCATTCTGTCATCTGAGCATCGGGATCCCATAAACTTATATGCTCTAATTTTAAAGATGTTAGATAGGTATTGAGTTGCTGATCTTTCTCCTCAATTTTATTGCCGACAGAACGTAATATCTTTGCTTTTTCTTCTGAATATAAAGAGCTTGCTTCGTGTACTTTCATTGGTATTAATCTGAAATAAATATTAATGAATAATAAAATTAAAAAAATACTTGCCATAATCTATATTGGAGTGATCTAAATATATTTACCTGGCAAATATATCAGGACCTGAAACTTCAGGATCATTAATACTGAAAGATATTCCTTTAACTAAAGGAGCTCCTTTTACACTAGGTAGTGTTTCCTTTTCTGGTACTTCTTCATGATATATATATTCATTTTCATTTTTAGCTGCTTTACGTTTTCCTTCTATTACGTCATTAGTAAATGTTAATGCTTCTTCTATAGTTACTTTTTCTCCAGGAATATTTGAATAAATCAATTGTGCTTCATTTAGAGAAGCTAATGCAGCATTATAAAATGCTACTCTTTCTCCCATTTTTCTTTGTTCTTCAGCAGCTAAACCTTGATATAAATATGTAACTGCTAAATGATAAGCTTTCTTAAATTTCAGATAATGTTTCCAGCTCTAAAAAAGAAAACTTATAAGTTTTTATAATATTCTATAATATAAGAAATAATTTAAAATTTTACCTTATAGATTTTAGTCCCAACTGTATCTGATATAGTACCATCTTCACTTCCGCCTTGTTCAAGTGTAGTTAATGCCAAATTAAAATAGTCCACTATTTGTCTTGCGACTTTTGCTACATGATAGATATATCTTGTAGAATGATACACAAGAGTAGACAATTAAAGCCACAAATGTGTAATATATTTATGAAATTTTTATCTTTTTTATACATACCTACAATTGTGGGTTTACGATTATCAAGCATACTTTTTTCTAATATGCATTCTTGAGCTTGAGCTAAGCAAAGCTGATGCATAAATGTCATAAGTTCTGGAGCTAAATCCACTCCAGATGGCTGTGGATAGCTATTTTTTAAATGCTCAAAGGCCCAAGCTGCACATTGAAAATGAGCACAAGCCATTTTCATCCCATCAGCTGATGTTCTTTCTGTAAGTGCTCCCAGTTGAGTATGCATTGCACCAATATTGTATAAAATTGAAATTATTTCAAAACGAATATTAGCCAATGAACACACCATGTTTGCATATGTATCCCTCCTATTTAAATATATTCAAATTATTAGCATTAATGACTATTATTATTATTTAATTGCAGTTTTACCATGTAAATGTAATTGCTGCTGCACCATCTTTTCCCATAGGAAATCTACTTTGAAGAAAATGCAATTGACAATAATATCTTTTTAATAATGAACAACCAGCTACATCAATAGGTGGTCGTATGGCCACTGCACGTAAACTTTCTAATTGATGTATTTCATGTGCAAATGTTGCTGGATCTTTATTGTAAAAATCACGTATATACTAAAACAAAAATATTTATAATTTCAATTAGATTTATTGACAGATTGAAATAAGTTAATAAATAATCATTTGTTTAGATAAAGAAAATATAGAATAATAATTTAGATTAATAAATAATAAAATTAAAAGTTAAATATTAATTTTGTAATTATCGAAATATATATTATAATTTATAATGTAATTTATTCATACCTGCTTTAACTTTGGACCAAATGTAGTAGGCTCTGGACTAACTTTTAATTGAAAAGATATCATCGGCAACCTTGGTACTGCTTCCATTGTAGAATATTTATTAAAATATTTCTGAAAACTGACAGTTAATCATCTGTCAAACTTGTAGAAAATGGATTTGTTCACAGAACATACTTTTTCTGTCACGTACTTATGACGAATAATTACCGTTTTTGGGCAGATATTCAAGTACAAAAATATTTTCAACTATATGATACAAATATAATATTTTTCTGAAATTTAAATATTATTTTAAAAAAATTTTCGACTTTTTTTATTAACTATAATAAAAAATTTATTTCAATAAGAAATTTAAAATATAATAATATATTAATTAAAAAAATATATAAATTAAAATATATTTAGGGAAATTATTTTCTGTATATTGGCTAAATAAGAATACATCTTACATTAAATATATTAAAATTTACTAACGGTTTATATCCGTGGAAAAAAATTAAAAATCGAAACGATGTAATAAATCTATTATTGAAATATTTGTTTGTTCAAATAAATTCGAAAAATATATGATTATGAATTAAAAAAATTAAAAAAAATTAAAATTAAAAAAAAAAAAATTAAAAAAAAATTTTTTTTAAATTTAAAAAAGAATTATATAATGATGCAAAAATTAAAATAATGTGTTACTTATTAAAATTTATTTTTAATTAATTATTTTTATAATAATTTTATTTTTATAATAATTTTTGTAAATAAATGTAATTTACGTTTCAATTGTTTATATTCGTAATTATAGTCATATACAAAGTATCCAATTGCTTGAGTATATCACTCAATTTTCAATATATAATTTTTCGCTATATAAGTGTTTATATATATATATATATAGATATATATATATTTTCTTTGTTTTCAAATTACATATTAAATCAATATAAAATAAAAAAATAATAAATATTTATTAAAGATAGTTATTTTTTTTTAATATGTGTTCTTTATAGAATATAAGTGTCAAATGTGACTAATGATACTTTTGTGATTAACTGTATAAATGATATATAAATGATACTCAATCGGTGAAAAGTGAATACATTTACTTATAATATGTCAGAAAATAGACTTGATATGGATATTGATAATCAAAGTGAAGATGGAGAAATAAAGAAAAGCCCTTCGAAGGACATGGATGATTTTAGGTATTGAATAATATGATGCTTAATTTTAACCTCAATTTATCGAACTATTAAAATAAATCTTTTTTAATATATACTTGTATACTACTTTTTCTTTTTATTTTTTACTTAAAGTTAATAAAAATCAAATTTTATACATATTTAATAATATTTTATATATTATTATAATAATAATTTTATATGTTATCATTTAGTTAGAATAATAACATTTTTGATTATTGATTTTTTTTTAAGTTATATATGTTATAATACACTTTTTTATATATTGAATGAAATTAAGAAAAATTTATATATTTATAATTTAATTTGATTTTATTTGAAAATAATTTTGATTAGTTGTTTTAAAAAAAGTATATTTAAAGTTTTTCAGAGGAGGATGGGGGAGATACAGCAGATTCTTTAGATATAAAACCACCACAAGCTGTTGTCCGTCATCATAAATCTAATTCATCAAGAAGAAGAGACAAACACAGTGATAGAAGAGATCGTAGAGAAGAAAAGGAGAGAAAATCTAGGCATCATGATCGTGGAGAAGATAGACACAGAGATAAACATAGACATCGTAGACATGGCATGGATATTTTGGAAAGATCAGAACGTTCTGAGGGTTCTAAACGAGAAAGAGAGAGACTTGAAAGATTAGAAAGAATGGAAAATCATAGAGATAGAGAATCTAGACATGATAGAAAAGAAAGAAGTACAGGAGATCGTGTTTTGGAAGATTTAAGAGAAAGGTATACAAAATTTCATATTTGTATTTTCAAAAATCGATTTTATTAAATAAAGCTATTTTTCATGTTCAAATTTTTAATTTATAGATTATTAGACAAAAGAAGAGAAAGACGAGAAGATTCGCGAGATATTCGGGATTACAAAGTGGAAGCACGTCGTGAGATCCGTTTGGATGATTCTCGCGAATTACGCGATTCACGTGAACGTAGAGAAATGCGTTTGGAAGATATGCGAGAACGTCGTGATATTCGTACTATTGAAGATATTAGAGAACGTCGTGAAATTCGAATGGAGGAGCATAGACATATAAGAGTTTTGGAAGAACAATATTCTGAAACAGAGCTTATAGAACGGCCCGAGAGAAGTGAGAAACGTCATAAGAGATCACATAAACATGATCGTCTTCGTGAAAGAGACAGAGAAAAAGCAGAGCGTGAGAAGGAACATAGAGAAAAACAATTACGTGAAGCAATGGAAATTGTCACGGAAGAACCAGATGACATAGAAATCAATGAAATACAAATACCGGCAAAAGATCCAAAAGAAATGACTGAACAGGAACTTAGAAAAGAAAGATTACTGGAAGCTGATAGAGAGATGGCTAGAAGAAAAGAAGTTTCTAGATTGGAATTAGAAGCTCGACGAATGAAAAGAGGTGAAAAACGACCTTTAAGTCCAGACAATAATCAAGATCCATCTATTGTAGAATTATCAGATGAAAGTCCAAGTCCTGGCCATTCGGATGAAGTTCGTTCTAAATCTATTGAGTAAGGATTATATTCTGATATAATTCATGTCATGATTCTTCACTCTTAAAATTTCATGATTATTCATTTACAGATCTAGACATTCATCTGATGGCCAAAGAAGTATACGTGAGAGATCTTCTGATAGACATTCTTCTGATTCATCTGAATCTAGTAGCGATGATGACGATGAATCAAATGATTCAAATAAAGGATCTAATGCTGATTCAAATGATGGTTCAGATTACAATAATCCAAGTCCATTATCTGTAGATCGATTGGCTAAATCTGATCATTCTGATGGAGAATCACCTGGACATGTAGATTCAAACAATGCATCTAAGAATGCAGAAGAAGAAGAAAAAAAAGAAGAAGAGGAGCCTGAATTACCTCCATATTTACCAGCAATTCAAGGTATATAACTGATTTTTTTTTTGGGATTTATTTTTTTCATATTCTACAATAAACTTTTTAATGTTATAGGATGTAGAAGTGTGGAAGAATTTCAATGTTTAAATCGTATCGAAGAAGGTACATACGGTGTAGTATATAGAGCACGTGATAAGCGTACAGATGAAATCGTTGCTTTAAAACGATTGAAAATGGAGCAAGAAAAAGAAGGTTTTCCAATTACTAGTCTTAGAGAAATAAATACTTTACTAAAAGCTCAGCATCCAAATATTGTTACTGTTCGAGAAATAGTTGTTGGTAGTAATATGGATAAAATATTTATTGTGATGGATTATGTGGAACATGATTTGAAATCATTAATGGAAACAATGAATCAAAAGAAACAAGTTTTTATACCAGGTAAAATATAATGAAGTAATTATAATAGCAAGAAATATGAAGTATAAATATTTTTTTTTATAGGAGAAGTCAAATGTCTTATGCAACAGCTATTACGAGCAGTAGCACATTTGCATGATAACTGGATTCTTCATCGAGATTTGAAAACGTCTAATTTATTGTTGAGTCATCGAGGTATTTTAAAGGTTGGTGACTTTGGTTTAGCACGAGAATACGGTTCTCCTTTGAGACAATATACTCCGGTTGTTGTAACGCGTTGGTATAGAGCTCCTGAATTGTTATTAAATGGAAAAGAATATAGTACTCCCATCGATATGTGGTCAGTAGGGTAAGAAAAAAGAGATTACAAAATTACTTATACCTTTATTTTTTAATATGTTAGAATTATTATTGAAACTATATGTTCTTTAGATGCATCTTCGCAGAATTATTAAGAATGGAAGCATTGTTTCCGGGTAAATCTGAAATTGATCAATTAAATAGGATATTTAAAGAATTAGGTACACCAAATGATCGAATATGGCCAGGATATAGTAAATTGCCGATGGTGCAAAAAATTCCTTTTGCTCATTATCCCGTAAACAATTTAAGACAACGTTTTAGCTTATCGTTATCAGATTTAGGCATTGAACTATTAAATAAGTATGTTTCTTCAAATAACAATCTTTTTATTACTTTATTATTATCTTTCTTTCCTTTTTTTATTTTAAACAAATGTTTTTCTAGGTTTCTTACGTATGATCCTCAACAACGAATTTCAGCTGAAGATGCTTTAAAACATGGATATTTTACAGAAGCACCGTTACCAATAGATCCACAAATGTTCCCTACATGGCCTGCTAAGTCGGAACTTGGTGTAAAAACAGCAAATGCTTCACCAAAACCACCAAGTGGTGGAAAAGAATATAAACAATTAAGAGATGGAGACGATGCTGATTTAAGTAACTCTGGTTTTCACATGGGTCTCACGGAAGGCGGTAGACAACCACCTGTCGGTGGTGGTTTTCATTTAAAATTTTAAATATACATGACAAATTTTATATCAAACGAAAAATAATTGCTTTTCTAAAAAATTATCTTTGTACATAATTATCCAAATGAAAATAATTGTATATGCAATTAAAGAATGCTATAAATTTCACATGAAAAAAATATTACATATACAATAATTTTGAATAATTTTATCCTTTCAAACAGCTTTTGATTGAAATACTCTTTTTGAAAGTTTATATTTTATCTTGTTTTATATAATAGTTGCGATATTTATTACAATTAAGGAAAGATGAGTGGTTAGAAGATCATATAAAAAAAATATAATTCTTTATAATTTAGTTTATTGAATTTGGTACATTACAAGTCTTAAAGATTCTTTGAAATGTATATATTAAATAAAATGTATTTCTCCATTGTCAATAGAATTTTAACAATTCTACTTTCCAGCATTGTTCATATTTTTCGGTAGACCTAGAAGTGAGTTTATGAGTTCAGAATTACGTTTAGAATGACAAAGACATGGTGGCAATAGTAATAGTTTTGCAATCCTTTGTAGGTCGTTATTCTAAAAATAGATTTTACATATTTAATAAGATTATTAAATTATTATTAAAGTTATTTATTAAAATAAAATAAAATTAAGTGCATTATATCTCCTTACCACTCCTCTGTCATATGGAAAGTTTAATGCCAACAGATTTCTATAAGAATCTTCAGTTGTTCCAAATGTTTGGTATACGATCCCCAGCATCATAATTAAGATTATCACACACTTTCTCGATATCATACTTTATTTCCAAAAACAAATTATCAACATGCGCAAGAATGAATAAAAACGTGTTTTTTAAAATTTTTTTAGTTTAATTTTTAATTTAAATAATTTTATACAGTTACCTGTTTTTACTTGTATTATTGCAAGTACAAGTATTGTTTCTGTTAACTGTATTCTGTGGAAGTACCCTGAGAGTTTCAAGCTACGAACTTTTATACGAATGATGTTCGTGGGGGGTTGAAATGTGATTGTGACAGACGAATCTGTGAATGACAGTGATATTCTCGGGAAAATATCGAAGAAATTCTTTCGTTCTTTTAAAATTATTATATAAACTTCAGTGTTACTAGTAAGAATTTTTATTTTTATTACTTTTGAAAATTCTTTTCTTTTTTTAAAAATAATTACAGAACGACATGTCGTTTTATCGTGATATTTTTTTACAATGAATCGACGATTTTTTGGGATTATTATTTTTTCATCCAAAAATGTTGATTATGAATTAAAAATCTTGATCTTTTTTTTTTTTTAACAATTATTCTTTCAAATTTCATAGAATATAAATAAATTTTTTTTATTGATTTTATTTTTAATATGTAATAAATTAAATATATAGATGACGAAAGTAAGAATTATAGAGTAAATAAAATAATAGGAATAACAAAAATATTAATATGATCTAACTAATATTTTACGCTTTTCTTAAATTGTCTTACATATCAAAAAAATTAAAATCAAGTAAGAATTTAACTAAAGAAAATTAATAATCATTGTTTATACATTCGAGCTTACTATAACAAGAATATGTAGTGAATGAACGTCATTATCTACTTTTACGACCCATTGCTTTCAAGTTAATGATGCGATAAGAGAACATATGTATATATTTATGTTGCAAAAAAAGATTGGAGTTTTCAGATGTTCAACTTTATTTGCAATGCTTTTTTGCTCTTGACTCGTTAATGTTTCATGTATTCTTCTTTATCAGTTATAAAGTATGAAAAGTACAAAGAAAATTTCATTAATCTCTGAAGAATAAAAATCTCAAGAAATATATTCTATTTGGACGTTTAAAAATGTAAATCAATGATATTTCAATATAAAAATGAAAAAAAAATCTAAATAAGAAAATCGTAATCGCAAAATTAATGCAATCTTATTATATTAGTTCTAATAATTACGGAATTGTATTTATTCATGAGACACCTACGTAAAGATGAAGAGCGATAAATACCGAAGATAGGTTCGATATCCTTCGCATTGAGTAGTTACGAAGAAATAGAAAAGAAGTATGAGAGGACAAAGGAAAAAAGAAGTAAAAGAAAGAGAAGAAAAGAGGAAAGAGAGGAAGGGAGTTCCAATAGTCCATGCACGATAATCGAAATCTTCGCGCTCTGGGATAGGTGTGGGTCACTAACCAGTAACCAGAAAGCTGACTCGAGACTGGTGTTGTGGCCTTGATTCTTAAGATCCTTCGAACTCGAAGCCATGTGTCGCGTGTCGATCATGTTACAGTTTAGTTTCTTTGACACCGAATGTATATCTTCGCGCTACAATCCTTTCAAACGAAGTTGAATAATTTTTTCATTGTTTGTAAAATTTATCTTTTCTTTTCTTTTTTTTTTCTTCTTTCCTTCTTATTTTCGTCGAAACAACCATTGTAATATCTAACATTATAGATGACGTAATTAAAAGCAGTTTGAGATTTCTTCTTTTTGTAAGTATCTTCGTAATTTTGAACTGACAAATGATCCTCATGACTTCACCAAGGATTCTCTGACTTTTCAAGGTATATTGTATAAATCACACAGATTGATAGAAACATGGCATGAACGAAACAAATTAATGTTTATGCCTGCCGAATTATCTATTACTTTTCTGTTAATAGCTTTCTCGTGTCATACATATCCATGGGAAAATTTTAAACGATCACTTAAATATTAACTTTGGAAAGAAAAAATGCATTAATGATTTTTTTTTTCTTTTTTTTTTTTTTAGTTCGACCAAATAGACGACATAATATATCATTTTAGATCAAGACTCATGATAAATAGTAAAATAACATCGAATTTATCGTTGGCTATCCTCGAGACTTTCCTTTTCTCTATTTCTATTCATTTTATTCATTCTTTCCATAAATCTGTTATAATTATGTCGCACGCCAGATAATGATATTATATATCCTTTCCTTATAAATCTATTTGTATATATAACAGTTTGTCATACAAGTTATAGCTATATGATTTAATTATGCATTCCGTTTAGCCGTTAAAATGTTTTAACAGGTTCTACGTACGAAAAACTCATACAACCTGTATCGAAACACATTTGACTTCCCGATGCCAATGAACCTCAAAGACTACGTCAATAATCTGTGTTGGCCCTCGAGCACAAACTGGATCTTTCACGCTTCATTCGGAGGAATGAGAGACAATTAAACCTATTGACATTTTTTTAAATTTGAATACTTGTCCCATCCCGTCTTTCTTCTTCTTTTTTATCGTTTTATCTTTCTTTCTCTTCTTCTAATCGCGATTCCAGTATTAAACATTTGTTACTTATAAAAGTTTTTTTAGTTAATTTAGGTTTCTTGTCCAATCTTTCTTCCTTTTTTCTTTTTTTTTTCCTCTCTCTCTCTCTCTCTCTCTGTTAGAAAACAGGTCGATAAAATAACCGGTCGCAAGTTCAAGGCGAATCATCGGCATTTTTACACTAAATTGCCTTATTTTTTTATAGGATGTTACAGAGATCCTCGGGCTGCAATCAATTCTCGAATTCAAGTTCTTCGAGAAGAAATCCTAATTAGTTATCTTGTTTTTCGTTTCACGATAAAAATATAATAGAATTTAAAAATCCTTTATTTTTGAAACGAATTCTATTTTTTCCTTCTCGTTTCTTTGTTTTATCTTTTGTCTAACTGGAACTGTTCGATTCCTCCGGATAAAAGTCGTTCTCCTGAACTTGCATCTTACTTCGAGGATACAATACAAAACGTCGGTGAGGATACATTGTATTTTTGAACCAATGTCCAGTTTATTGTAAAAAAAAAACATGTTTTTTTCGTGACATTTGACACATGGTAATTTCATCTCTATATTCAATTCTTGATCTCTATTGCGAATTACGATTGACCAGCGGATTTCATAGCGGAAATATTTATATCAACAGGTTTCCAGCATCATTGAAGCCAAGGTATATCAAAGAGAGGACGAGAATGGCATACGTAACAGAACGTATTATCCTAGAAGCAAAATGAAATATGTACATCTTAAACGTTTTTGTATTGGATATGTTTGACGAATGATACGATATCGTTTCCGCTTAGCCTTGAAATTGATAATGTATCAATCGTACGAATTTGAAGATAATAGAATATTGTCATACCTCGAATGATTTCGTAAAGGCCCCCATCAATCTTTTGAAATAGTTTTTAAAATGGTTAATGTATCGTAATAATGAATATAATTAACAAGTTTCATCTATACATTAAACCGGATCCGGTTGTAAGTCGTAAATTTATATGATTTGAATTTTTGGACAACCGGTTCGGGTATTGAAAATAACAAATGCACAGATATATATATATATATATATGTTCAAATTTGAATTTGATAATATTTTTTTTTAAAATTCCTTTCAAACCACTTTTTGTTTTCAGAAAACTTGGAGGATCAAAGTATTATTTTCATTGTTACAAAGTAATCAATTTTCATCACATTCCAAGCCAATGGTGCATACATACAATGGTAATCTTTCGAGCGAGGATACATAAAATTATAAACGGTAGCAGCAAACAAAATTTTAATGGATTCCATGAAAGCAGCCGTTTCCAAATTTTTCCCTGGTTATTAATGGAATAAAGGTTAAAATGAAAAGAATAGTTATTCGCATCCAGTGGAAAAACATAAATACTTACTTACGCATGTAGAGAGATTAGAAGGCGCGAACAACTCTTGGAGAGATGCAAGCAGAGATGCAGCAACACGCACACAAAATCACGACAACGATGTGTCGTTGCCATGGCGTGTAAGGTCGAGAATTGGTGTACGTACATGATGGTTTTCTTCGTGGTCAAGGACGTCGGAGACAGGGCCTCCGCGTAGGGTGCGGGAGCCGAGGGGTCCCTCCGACGATGGAGTAGGTATATATGGGCGTCCAGCCGCGTTCAGAATACCAGATTCATGCAAGTTAGCCCTCCCCACGAGGCGGGTGGTATGCTTTGAAAAATTCATCGCGGACGACCTAGCGGTGGAGAGTTGAGGGGCCTGGTCTCGCGGCTTTTCAATCATCAATCGGGCAGTGCGCTGGAATCGACTACCATTCACACCTCGGATCGGTTACAATCAACGCATTGGCTTATTTTTTTGGAGAACGTGTTCCCTCCGCAAGGTTCGTGCGATTCTTTCACTATTCTCCGATTAAATTTTTTATTCGTTTCTTTTCGTTAAGTGAAATTCCCTTCTATTTTTTCTTTTGTGCTGAAAGAAATTTAATAGGAAATCATCAAGAAAGTTTTGTCTTTGTTTAACGAGAGAAAGAATAGTGTGATATAAAAGTTACGATTTTGAAAAACTTTTCTTCGACGTTGTTTATTTTAGTTCTGGAGATGATTGTTTAACAAGAATTATATGTATAATATAATTCAAAAGGAGAGGCTTAAGAGAATGAAACAAGAAGTTTTCATTGACGAAGTTTGTGACAACTTTTTTAAAAAAATGAATTCGTTGTAATTGAATACATAATAGATAGCAAAAATGCATTATTATTTTACCATAATGTCTTATTTTTTTACCTTAATTTTAAATTTCAATAATCATTTGCAACTGTGGAATACTGTGGAATACTACATTTTATGCATAATTGTTTATTTTATATATATTTTTCTATCATAAACTGAATGACAGAACTTTATGGGTTATTTAATAATTTCTTCTTTTAATTTTTCATTATCAGACCGATATTTTCAAGATTTTTCCTGTGAATTTCATTAATCGAAACAAATTCTTTATATATTTTCAATAAGAGACATCTTATGTACAAAAATTTATCGAAACACATTTTCCAATGATAAGATAAAAACAGTGAATGAAGTGTTTAACAATCTATTAAATGGTCTATTAAATATTTCGACACTCCTTAATCTCTTCCATTATTGATCCACTTCAAAAACCATTCGATATTTTATAATCTTTGTATCTTGTTTAAATAAGATTGGAAGATAAAACTCAACGAATTTTTTAAAATTTCGTACCTACATTTAACAATACGAAGAGGAATCTATGAAAAAAATAAAATATCAGATTGTCATTAACGTTGTTTCGGAAGATCAGTACCTGACGGCTTGACTGGCAAACATTGTCCTCTTTGCGGTCACTTCCACCTACGAGAGTAGCATTTTTAATGGCTAAACGCTATCATGAGGATTCAAGTAGCGGCGCGTGTCTTTGTCCTCGAGTGAATCAGCACAGCAATGCTCGCATCCAATTTCGATTTCGCGTTATATGATGATTAAAGATTCGCACAACGATCAAACAAGCTGCTTCGACTAAAAATATGCAAATGCCAATATTAATAAAAAACTTAATTGGACAATAATTCTACCGTATTATGGCTTTAAATGTTCAACATTTTCAAGGTCTTTTAAGATTAATATATTATGTATTTACAAGTACTATACTATACATTCTATGCATCCGCAAAAAATATTCTGTCTCAAGCTTGTTAGCAATCCAGTAAAGAGATAACAAAAATATTAAGCATGTACTAGTTGTGAATGATTAACGATTGTTTTTCAAGATATGTGATCAATCATCAGTGCAATTGAACTCGGAAAAAGTTCGCAATCATCATAATGCGAAGCATATCTCATTCTTCGTATTTTTTTTTCCGGTATCCGTACACGCGTGTCTTAAGTGCAGGACAGGTTTGCACGCACATCACACAAATGATGCATCCAGCAATTCTGGTTTTCAGATATCGATGCACGTGCTGTAGCATTTTAATTACGATAATTTGTAATTGTCAGATTAATTGTCAAACACTGTCTCTGTATTTAATCTATTGTATGTTATTTGCTAATTACATCCGATTCGATCAATAACTTTGTATTCCTTCATGAATATTTTTATAATTTTTTCATAGAGACAAAAATCACTTTTCTTACTATTACTATTAATATTGAGAAGAAGTAAAATTAAAAAACACAAATACACTTAATGATCTTAATCATTATCATTCGAATATGATCGATTAGATTCATTTATTATGCACGAACATTATTATTATTATTTTTGTTTTATTGGTCTATTTTATTAACAATCTTTAGATTTACCGATGTTGCTAGCTTTTAAAGGATCTATAAAAATTTTATGTTATTTCAATGTTTTCAGAATATAATTTCGAAAAATGTTTTTTTAGCGATGATTCTCTGGCTAACCTTAATCTTCGTGACTTCGGTGGCTGCAGGACCACCTTATCGAAAGACAATACCTGATATATTACAACCACCTCTATGGGATTCTGTAGAAGAAACAGACGTAGAAATCATCAACGTGCCATTGTTTCAACGTGATGCTGTCGAAGGTCCACCAATGATCGATTCACCATCGTTAGATCCCGCCATTACTCACGAAGATTACGGATCTCGAAGGTTTCCTTTGCGCGATGCAGTCGAAGCGTTGCCCTCAAATAAGATCGATTCTCAAGTCGATAATTTACCCCTGCAGAATTTCAGAGAGTCAGTATTTATTAGACATAATAATACGTATCTTATTCCATAAACATGATCTTCGATATTGAATTATTTCATTTGTAAATGATCGATAATCATCTTTCATGATTAATTTATCAACGATTGCGTGTTGAGATTACGGATCGAAAGTATATATGGAGCTACTCGATGTTTTCTTCATTATCTTTTTGTTCGTTGGATAATTAATGAAGGATGATTTATGTTGCTTTAGTGGTCGAGTGCCTTTAAGAGATGCCGTTGAACATCGTGAAGCTCCCTTCTTTGGGAACGTCGATCACGAATCGATTTGGATCGAACCATTAGCTCCACCAACGTTAACAAGAATGGAACAAATCATTAATCCAAAAGTGGTTTGCTATTTGGACTCTAGTGCAGTACACAGAGTAGAGCCATTTTCTTTGTTTCCTCAATCCATACCACACCACCGATGCAGCCATTTGATATACATCGCAGCCACTTTAGGTAATTCAGTTTTTTCGATATTATATCGAATCGATTTGTTCATATTAATAAATACATATACCGTAAATGACGAATAAAATTTTCTCAGATCCAGAGAAGATGGTTATCGTCTCGAGAGATCGCGAATATGACGAGATCAAGGGTAAAGTTGTAAATCATTAATTATTTCGCGGAAAGGATACGTTAAAAATCCGAGTCCCGTTAATTTATTCCGTTCAATTCAAATATAGGTGGATACAAAACAGTAACGGGACATCGATCGAGGGATCCAGCGTTGCAAGTGCTCGTCTCGATCTCGGTTCCAAACCGAGGAAAATTGTTCTCTGAACTAACCAAAAGTTATTGCGCTTTCCACTGTGAAAAATTTGCCAAATCCATCATAAACTTTCTTCAAACGCACGACTTCGACGGAGTGGAAATCGATTGGAAAGGATCGGCGAATCATTCGAACGATTTGAAACTGTTGTTGAGGACAATTAGAAAGCTTTTCGTTGATCAACAATACATTCTTGCAGTGGTTCAAAGACCAGAAGATCCGGTGGATCAAGAAATTAGTTCTGTGGCCGATCTGCTTCTTCTGAGAGCGTGGAGGGACAGTCCAGCTTTCAGAAGGGAAAAATTGGCACTTCATCCGGCACCTCTGAAATACGTAGCTCGAGTGACTAACAAATGGATCGATCGTGTGCCGAGAGAACACAGATCAAAGATCGTTCTTGGTTTATCTGTGTTTGGCCAAGGATATACCTTGAAATTCGAGAACTTTACGGATGCTGGCGCGCCTATCATTGGACCAGGAATCGAGAATACATATGACAAGCAGAAAAACGGAAGGATGGCTTATTATGAAGTAATTGTTCGATATTATTTATTTTAATCTGAAAAAAAGTTTTTTCTTTTTATTTATATTTATCATTGCGTCCAGATATGTGAGAGACTGGAAGATGGATTGTGGACTGCCGGAAGAGATGAAGAAGGACCGTACATAAAACGTGGAGATCAATGGGTCGGTTACGAGGATCCATTGACGGTGAAAATCAAAGTAGCGTACATTAGATCGATGAAGCTTGGCGGAGTTTCTTTGTGGTCTCTCGACTTGGATGATTTTCAAGTTAATAAATTGTTTTCTCTTCTCTAATTTCTCGCACTCACTCTTAATATAAAATTAAAAAAAAAAAATTAAATGTTGCTATTAGGGTATTTGCGGAAATTCGTGGCCCATGTTAAACGCTGCAACGGAATCGATAGGCTTTTACGACGAGACACAATTGGGAAAATGTTCCACAGATGGACTTTCTATCGATCCCCAGAATTGTTCAGGATTTTATTCTTGTCACAATGGTAAGTAATTTGATTGTAAACAAATTCTGAATCTTTTTAATAATATTGATTAATTTACAAAGATCGAATTAATTTTTCTATTAAAAAAAAAAAGAAAAACCTAATGGACAATATTTTTTACTTAATTATCATTGTGTATACAGGAGTACGATATCGGGGCCAATGCGGACCTGGGAAATATTTCAATTCGAACAATGGTCGTTGCATAAAAGCGAATTCGAATGTTTGTAAATCTGGCCAATTTAATCGAATTCAAGGAGATCGTTATCAGAGTGAAATAAGAGAGTCACAAAAATTGCAACATTTAGAGATCTCGTCGGAAAAGAGTCCCCGAGTAGTTTGCTACGTGACTTCATGGTCGTTATATCGCAAAGGAGATGGATTATTTGTTCCAGAACGTCTGAACCCTCGTTTATGTACCGATATAATTTATGCGTTTGCTGGATTGAATCCTGATACGTTGCTTATTCAACCGTTGGATCCCTGGGCTGACATAGAATATAGTAAATACTTACTAAAGTATCAAAATAGATTCTTAAAATAAAATCACATGTTATTTTGTTTTATTAAGATTAAATTTTTATTATTATTAAATAAGTAAATATTTTCAGATTTGTATGAACGAGTGACAAAATTGAAAGGGTCAAGAGTATTATTAGCTATAGGAGGATGGACAGATAGCACTGGTGATAAATATTCTCGTTTAGTTAGTAGCGGTGTTATTCGTCGCAAGTTCGTTTCAGCTACGATAAACTTCTTAAAGAAGCATAACTTCGATGGTCTCTCCTTTGAATGGAATTATCCGAAATGCTGGCAAAGCAATTGTAAAAAAGGACCGGATACCGACAAACCCAATTTCACCAAATTGATCCAGGAATTGAAAAATGCGTTTGACCAACAAGAACCAAAGTTAACACTTGCTGTAGCCTTTTCCGGCTACAAAGAGGTGATCGATAGAGCTTATGAAGTGCGAGAAATCTCAAAAATAGCGGATTTTATATCTGTAATGACGTACGATTATCATGGTGCTTGGGAGTCAAAAACGGGACATTTGTCACCTTTGTTTGGAAACGCTGCCGACGTTAATCCGTACTACAACATCGTGAGTTTAACAATACGTTATATTTTATAAAAAAAAAACAAGAAAAATTATTAAAAATTTTTTCTTTATAGAATTCTACAATGGAATACTTAGTTAATCTTGGAGCAGAAAAATCGAAACTTCTGGTAGGGATACCTTTATATGGACAGGCTTATCGATTATCCAGTGAAAATCTGGCAAATCTTGGTGACCCGACAACTGGTCCTGGAACTGCTGGAGAATTTACAAAGCAACCTGGAATGCTGGCATATTATGAAATTTGTGATAGAATCAAATACAAGGGTTGGAAAACTGGTTTAGGTGAAAAATCTAATAAAAAAAAAATCATTTTTCTATTTTTTCCATGAAATGATTTTAAATGATCTTAAACATTTTTTAGGTCCAAGTGCTTACCTCAAAGACCAATGGGTGGGCTACGATGATCGGGAAAGTGTCTACGCGAAAGGGGAATACATTTTACAAAATGGTTATGGAGGTGCAACACTGTGGACTGTAGACTTGGACGATTTCTTAAATCGTTGCTGTTCGGAGTCGTTCCCATTATTAAAGAGTATAAATCGTGCGTTAGGTAAACGAATCATTAGATATATTCTCGATATTTTCTTTAAATTTAAAGAAATTACGTGAGTTATTAATCTGTCATTATATTGCAGGTCGTTTAAAAAACAAGGAATTTTCTGAAGGATGCCAACGACCAGCAGAACCAATTACACCGCAACCTCCAACGTTGACAACTCACAGTGATGCCGTGGAAGAGACTCCACGGCCAACCACACCGATGACTAAACCAACCATGTGGCCAACGTGGACTGAAAAGCCAAGCACAAGCACTCAGCATACGAGTACAACCTGGCCCACTTGGACTTGGAAACCAAGCAAAAAACCAGATACAACGACTATGAGCAGTACTACAATCTCTTCGACCCAATCCACCAACACGTGGACTTCAACCAAGTATTAAATCTTAGTTTCGCATAAATAAATAAATATTATTCATTATTATTAATAATGTTATATAATAATAAAACTTGTAAGTTTTTTAAATATATTTTTTTGTTTTACCATGAAAAAAAAAAAAATTGAAGAAGGCCATCAACAGTGGAATTAACGGAAGTAACGGAAAAACCAACGGATTCTTCAAAGCCGGGAACATCGTGTATGATAGGAGAATATGTACCAGACCCTGAAAGTTGTAAAAACTACTTTAGATGTGTGCTCGGCGAATTGCAACGCGAACAATGCGCGCCCGGATTGCATTGGGATGCAAGACGAAGCATTTGCGATTGGCCAGCTGCAGCGAAATGTCAAGTGGAAACTGGTAAGACTGCTTTATCTTCATTGTCTATATATATATATATATATATATATATATTTGTTCATCGAAGAAATATTTTTTTAATTTAAAAAACAAAGAAACGTAGGTATGTTAGATATTTTTTTTTTATTATTACTATTATATAATAATTATATAATAGTATCTTTTTATTACACATTACGCTAAATTCTTCCTTTATTATTAATTGACTTTCATTTTTCAAAATAATGTCATTAATATTTTGAATTTTATGTTGAAATGTACAAATAATGAGTAATTATATTACACGGAAAACTCAATTCCTGGTTTTAATATAATAATTCTATAGTAATTTCTTCAGGAGTTGTCGTTAACAGACATATCGGTTCATTGGCAATAACGTAAACCTGTTTATTCGCGCGTGGCAATAATCATCTTCACTCCTGCGCATATTTTTCCACCAACCGCCTCCAGACAAACATCTTCCCTTTATAAATCATTCGATTCTCTGCGACACTCAGTATCACTATTTCTACTTGTTCATTTCCTTGTTGAAAAAAAAAAAAAAGAAATGACACCATTCTATATTATTCATGTAATTTTCATTTTAATTTTAATAGATTCTGCCTCGATGCAAGTGCATAAAATATCCCAATTGTTTAACATAGGTATATAGAGATGAGCGAACTAAGAAACGATTAATTGTAAAACTTATGATAAACCTAAATGTAACATTTTGTTCTTTAAAGTAGGTTCTGTTACCCAGAAACCATCATGGACCACGACGACTGTTAAAACCACCACCACCACCACAAAGAAACCATCTACGTTGGCAGTATGGTCATCCTCTACCACCCAGAAACCGATCTTCATGAATGGTCCTAACGAGAAACCACAAAAGAATTGCGTGCACGGCCAGTATTACTCCTATCCAAATTCCTGTACGAGCTTCAGTATTTGCGTGAATGGGAATTTAATCTCTCAACAATGTGGGCCAGGATTGAATTGGAATAAAGAAAAAAATATGTGCGATTGGGCGTTCAAAAATCCTTGTATCGAGAAACCGAAAAAGACAGCTCCGTTGATTGCAACGGATATTAAGTCCATGGTAATATTTATCTCTATCATTCGTGTTAAAATTATAAAGGATAAAGATTAAATTTTGTTTTTTTTATTTGTTAGCCATGCATTCCTGAAAGCTACTCCAGCGTTCCAGGTGATTGCGAAAGTTTCAAGGCATGTTTATGGGGTCGGTATGAGGTGTTCCGTTGTGCTCCTGGATTGCACTTTAATCAGAGAACTCGCATATGCGACTGGCCATCCAGAGCCAATTGTCAAGATAATTCTGTATCGACAGACGATCAAGATTCCAATATACCCAACAATAAACCAATTCGTCCATCGAGTACCGAAAAACCTTGGGAAGAGAGCACAACAACACAAGCAACAACAACCACCTTGTCATCAGCCGTGATACATCCTGAAAAAGTTTCTCCGTTGTCTGGATATTACAAAGTAAGATTATTGTCATCATTCGTGAACTAACGCGAATCCAAATCGCTTTAATGTATAATCTCTCATTAGATCGTGTGTTACTTCACGAATTGGGCTTGGTATCGAAGAGGGGTCGGCCGTTACGTTCCTGAAAATATCGATCACACTCTATGCACTCATATCGTCTATGGATTTGCAGTTTTGGATTACTCGGATCTGATCATTAAAGCTCACGATTCTTGGGCTGATTACGACAACCGTAAGAAATGATTTTTTTCTTAAAAGAATATTCGAAAGTATGGAATATAAATGTAATATTTTATCGTTTCTTGAACAGGATTTTACGAGCGTGTAGTCGCGTATAAGAAACGTGGATTAAAAGTATCCCTTGCTCTCGGTGGTTGGAACGATTCAGCTGGAGATAAGTATAGTCGTTTGGTGAACAATCCCACAGCCAGAAAGAAATTTATCGCGCAAGCGGTTCAATTTTTAGAAAAATACGATTTCGATGGACTTGATTTAGATTGGGAATATCCAGTTTGCTGGCAAGTATGTGCAAATTCATATTAATCTCTCATAAATTTCTTCTTTCTAGAATATTACCAATTAATATATTACCTTTGTCGTAGGTTGACTGCAAGAAAGGGCCATCTTCGGATAAACAAGGTTTCGCAAGTTTACTGAAAGAGCTCAGCAACGAGCTAAGGCCTAGAGGTCTGTTACTTAGCTCCGCAGTTTCACCGAGCAAACAAGTGATTGACAAAGGTTACGACGTTCCCGCCCTCGCCAAATACTTGGACTGGATCGCAGTGATGACTTACGATTACCACGGTCAATGGGATAAAAAAACTGGCCACGTTGCGCCACTTTACTACTATCCCAACGATGATTATTATTACTTCAATGCAAACTATTCTATTAATTATTGGATCGCCAAAGGAGCTCCTCGTAGAAAAATTGTTATGGGTATATATATATATATATATAGCTCCCTTTATTGAAAACACAAATTAAATTAATTATCCATTATCTAATTGATTTATTTCGATAACAGGAATGCCACTGTACGGCCAATCGTTCTCCATAAACGATCCTAGCGCGGGTACAGGATTGAACATACCAGCCAGTGGTGGACAGGCAGGAGAGTTTACTCGAGCTGCTGGATTCTTGGCCTATTACGAGATTTGCGATAGGATACGGAATCGTGGATGGAATGTCGTTCAAGATTCGCAACATAGAATGGGCCCTTATGCGTATAAAAGCAATCAATGGGTCAGCTTCGATGACGCCGAGATGATTCGAAGGAAAGCTGAGTATATCAGGAATATGGGTCTTGGTGGTGGAATGGTATGGGCATTGGATCTCGATGATTTCCGGGGACGTTGCGGCGAGGGACCGCATCCTTTAATGCATACACTTCAGAAAGTATTAGCTAATCCACCAAATAAAGATGAGAAACGTAATCTTTTTTTTAATATCTTTCTTCGTTTCTCTTTGTAATATATTACTTTTTATCTAAAGTTAAATATCTTGCGTCGCAGCTGAAAAACCACCGATCACAGTGGAGGATTTAGATCAAGATGCAGTGGCACCCACGGTAGCGCCCACCACTGTTAAAACACCTATACCATCGTCGACTTCGACAGATCAGGTGCAATCTGAAAATGGTTTTAAAGTAATTTGTTATTTTACGAATTGGGCCTGGTACCGTCAAGAAGGAGGGAAGTTCTTACCGGAAGACGTGGATACTGATTTATGTACTCATGTTTTATACGGTTTTGCAGTACTTGATGGATCTCAATTAAGGATAAAATCGCACGATCCATGGGCTGACATAGATAACAGTAACTATTAAGATTTATATCATGTATATTTCTTTTTTTTTATGGATCGCTATATTTTCAGAATTTTTTCAGAATTCTACGAAAGAATAGCAGCGTTAAAATCGAAGGGTATAAAGGTATTGATGGCCATCGGAGGATGGAATGATTCAGCGGGCGACAAGTACAGCCGTTTGGTGAATTCGCCATCGGCTAGACAAAGATTCATAGAGAACGTAATCCAATTTATCGAAAAATACAAATTCGAAGGATTGGATTTAGATTGGGAATATCCAGTCTGTTGGCAGGTAAAATAAACTGATATAGTTATTATAATTTCCGTCTTGTTTCTAAGATAATTTGACGAGTAAACAAATTTTAGGTTGATTGCAACAAGGGTCCAGCATCGGATAAGGAAAGCTTTGCCAGTTTAGTGAGAGAATTGAGTGAAAAATTTAAACCAAAAGGATTATTATTATCTGCTGCCGTTTCTCCCAACAAACGAGTTATTGACACGGGTTATGACGTGCCAACCTTGGCAAAATACTTGGATTGGATATCTGTGATGACTTACGATTATCATGGTCAATGGGATAAAAAAACCGGTCATGTAGCGCCTCTGTATTACTTACCCAATGATTGGGAGCCGACATTTAACGCTGTTCGTACTTTATGGTATAATTATCGACGATAAATGAATACGATACGAGTAACTCTTACATAATTTTTTTTTTTTTTTTTTTTACTTTACAGAACTTTTCTATTCATTATTGGATAGAGAAAGGTGCTCCAGCGAAAAAACTTGTTATGGGAGCACCCTTGTACGGTCAATCTTTTTCTTTAGCTGAGAGAACACAGAAGGGATTAAATGCGCCAACTTATGGCGGTGGTGAAGCCGGAGAAGCAACAAGAGCAAGAGGCTTCCTCTCCTATTATGAAGTAAGTATTTTCCATTTTCTCTTTTCTAACTTTCCTTCGTAGATTTTTATAGATATCTTTTATCTCTGACAATTATAGATTTGCGAAAGAACGTTGAAGAAAGGTTGGACTGTCGTTCAAGACAAGAAACGTCGTATTGGTCCGTATGCGTTTAAAGGTGACCAGTGGGTCAGTTTCGACGATGCCAGACAAATTAAACTGAAGGCAGAATTTATAAAGGATCTTGATTTGGGTGGTGGCATGGTATGGGCCCTTGATTTAGATGATTTCAAAAATAGATGCAACTGTGAACCTAGTCCACTTTTAAGAACCATGAACAGAGTTCTAAGAAATTATCCCAAAGGCCCATTGTGTCCAGTAACAAATGGTAAATGTTTTAAAATTGAAATTTCATTTATTAAATAAAAGCGAGAAATTAAAATAAAATGAAGATAAATCTTGAAAATAGAATTTATGACAATCGATGTCGGTGAAATCACCATGGAATCAACGACTAGTGAACAACCAAGTTGGGAAGTTACCACTTCTCATAGACCAATGTATTTACCACCAACGACCGCAGATCCGTGTACCGACACTGACGATACTATCGAAATAGAAGCTGAACCACCATTAATAAGCACTTCGCCAGAAGATTGCGGTGGTCGTGTATTCGTCCCCCACAAAAAGGATTGTTCCAAATACTTCTTGTGCAATTTTGGAAAACTCACTGAATACTCTTGTCCTCCTGGCCTTTACTGGAACGAGAATCGTTGCGATTGGCCTGAGAACACAAAATGTAAAAATTCCCAACGTCAGGTGAACAGTTGAAATTATTCTAATTTACGAATCTTTTTCTTTCTTTCTTTTTTATAAATCTAAATTAAATTTCCAGTCCAATCAATTACTCCCATTAATCTCCGCTCCAGAAACGGACAAGAAGAAAGTAATTTGTTACATAACAAAGTGGGGAAGAAAGCGATCTGGAGCAGGGCAATTTCTACCCGAAGATATCGACCCGAATTTATGTACCCATATCGTTTTTGGCCCTGTCAAGTTGGACCCGGAACGACTAAGTATACAAAGTCCTCAGAGTACCAGCCAAAAGGAATTCTTTGATAAAATAGTAGATATTAAAAATAGAAACGGGCTAAAGATTTTACTTAGTTTAGGAGGCTGGGAAGAATCAAAGAGCAACAAGTATAGTAAATTGGCGCATAATCCGGTGGAACGACAGAGATTTGCACGTCACGTTTCTCTTTACATTCAGAATCATGGCTTCGATGGCCTCGATCTTCTTTGGGAGTATCCAGTATGCTGGCAGGTAAAAATAGTTATGCAAAAATGATGTAATAAATAAAATGTTTTAATAATAAGTAAATTTATCATTTATCGTTTCTAATTTAATTGTTTTCTTGTCAAAAATTACGGTTATTTTATTTTTATAATGTTACATATAATGTTTTAATTTTTTACAGGTTGATTGTACTCGTGGTCCATTGAGCGACAGAGAAGCTTTTGCAGCTTTGCTTAAAGAACTGAGCATAGCCTTGAAATCCAAAGGATTGCTCCTTTCTATTGCAGTTTCTGCTAGCAAAGAAGTTATCGATGTAGCTTATGATGTTCCAGCATTAATCAAATACGTTGATTGGATGAACGTTATGAGTTACGATTATCATTCTAATTTAGAGAGCAAAACTGGCCATGTTGCGCCGCTTTATCATAATTCAAATGAACAAACCAAATATTTAAACGTGAACTTTTCTATAACTTATTGGCTAGAACAAGGCGTGCCATCGAATAAGCTCGTAATGGGTGTACCAACATATGGACAGAGTTTTACGTTATTGAAAAAATCACAAAGAAATGAAACGCCAGGTTTTAACGTGAAAGTTTCTGGACCTGGATATATAGGTGATTTTACCAAATCACCTGGCATGCTTGCTTATTACGAGGTATGAATTCATCAATTGATAAGTAAATCACTTTATATGTAGTATGTACTATACATAAGTGATTATATAACACACTTAATATTTAATGCAAATTACCATCGTAAATTCTTTTATGTAAATTGCAACGTTATTTTTACGTTCGAAGTTTAAACCGAACGTTTTTCCTTTTACGTATATTTTCATAGATATGCGATAATGTGAAAAATAAAAATTGGTCGGCTATTAAAGATCCGAAGAATTTAGTTGGACCATATGCTACGAAAAGTGATCAATGGGTCAGCTATGAAGATATATCAAGTGTAACGCAAAAAGTAATTGACGTCTATAAATGATGCAATAAATTTAAGATAAACGTTTATCATTCATATATATAAACATTCACATATTTTCTTCCAGGCAAAATTCATAAGAGATTTAAATCTTAGCGGTGCTCTGATTTGGTCCTTGGATTTGGACGATTTTAAAAATCAGTGTGGTTGTGGAAAGTATCCTTTAACAACAGCGCTTAGCCAAGGAATTAGAGGAGAACGAGAACTCAGAATGGATTGTACTTGAGATACACGTATCTTGAACAAATATGCAAATGATTCACGAATAGCAATTCATTTACATTGTGTTCCACTTTCACGGATAACAATAAATCTCAGATTGCTCATAAATCATATTAGTCAGTGTAAATACTGTATAGCACAAAGTTATAAATACTTGCAAAGAACAATATGATTTAGAGAGAAAAAAAGAAAAAAAAAAGGATTTATCTTGACGATTTGTATCATATTATGATTTTCAATCGTGTAGGATCGTAATAGGATCAAATAGGATTTGATCTATATACTTCCACTTAGTCCGCATTATCTTCCGATTCGTCATATAATAATATATTTGCAACGAATGATGTTAATTATATGTTTATTTTATATGTTATGTTAATTAAATATATTTTCGTCTAAAGGCATTAGACGAAGATATATTTAATTAACGTAGCATATAAAATATACAATCTAAAAAAAAAAAATATATATTCATTCTATATTTACATTTTTTTTTTCTTTAATAATTTAGTTAACTTACTAAACTTTAGTTAATTAACTAAAAATTTAGTTAAAGAAAAACATTACTTACAATAAATCGGAAGATAAAAATTGTATAATGATTTGATTCATTATAAACATTGATTGCTAATTCGTTTTTATCGAAGAAAGAAGAAAAAACTGTGAAATGATTAAAGATTAAAGGAAAATTAAAATAACAAAAAATTATTTTTGGGTAACAAAATTTTTTATTATTTATATATACAAAAAGAAAATAAATTAAAAATGAAAAGAATATAGATTTGACAATACATTCTATAAAAGACAATCTTTAATCAAACTCACAAGTACATGCATATTATAATATTAATGCAATTTCTATAAACATCTGTATCTTATGTATAATTTTAAATACACCATCTCATGAATAGAATAAATTTATTAAATATGCGAATGAATCATTTATCCCAAAGAAATGATATGAATAAATGATAGTATTAACTCTAATAAAAATTTTTACAAATTGTAATATTTAATTTGTAAAATTTATTTAATGTACATATCTACAAATTTATCGATTTAAATTTTTGATTTCAATGAAAATGCCATTTTTTATTTTAATTTTTAGTTATATTATGTTAATGCGAAATTTTCAAGAATGATCGAAATACTATTTCGATCATTAATGATCAGATAAAATGTTTTTAATATAAATTTCTCTTGAGATTGATTACTCAAGATTGGAATTAATTATATGAGTAAATAAGAAATGCGTAATGTTAAATAGTACGTTAGGAAAGGGTAAAAAGAAGGTGGGGATTCTGATTTCTCAAATCATTTATAGTATTTGTCTGAACTAGTCCCTTGTGAACGCGTGAGCAGTGTGACCACGTAGTTGTGCATATTGAATTTGGATTTATAGTAAGAAATTGTAAAAAAAAAAAAATCAGTAAGTCATTTTTAATCTTTGTTTAAACTACATCATGTATTTATACATTTTATACAAAATTATATATATAATTTTATTAGGACATTTAAAAATTTCATGATATTATTATTAATTAACATGAATGAATTTATGAGAAAAGTGGCATGACATTGAAAAAAAAATAAAAACATTTATATACAAATTATGAAACTTAATTACTTTTTAATGTAATTAAACAAAAAATTTTAATATTGAATTTAAATATATTAAATTTATAATCATATATAATATATATCGATTATCAAACTTCAATTCAGATCGAGATCTACAAAATCGAACGGTAAAATTCGATAATTGATTAGCATTATCAATATGACAGCCACGTTATAAAAAGTTCAACAGAAAACATCGAGAAATTAAATACACTTAGACTAATAAGCAAGTATAGAAAGTAATCAATGTAGTAATGATATTTGATTTCAAACAGTCTATTATTCATTGTTTAAATTATTATTATTACAAATAAGTTCTGTTATATTATTTTAAATATTTTTTCTCTTTACATAGGTCAGCATATATGACTTGTAATTCGGAAGTGTATGTCAGCGACATACTCGACTATAAAGGTATGTAAAAACTGATTTATTATTTATATTGATTAATCATTAAGCATTTAATATAAATATAAATATTAAAATTATAAAATATTTATTGAAATCATATTCTGATTTTAAGTTATTTATTTTTATGACTAGCATCTTCTTATATATAATATATATATTAAAAAAAAATTATATAATATATAATATATAATATATATATTATATATTATATAATTTTTTTTAGATTTTATTTCGAAATTAATAGCTCAAATAATTAATATTCAAGTGACTATGAAAATATTAGTAATGTGTTTATTTCAATATCATATAGTTTTTTATATATAATAAATAATTTATCTTTGTCATTCTATCAAAATTAATAAGTTATTTAAATATTGTAATTCGATAAAATAACAAAATATTTTAGATTATTAAAATAAATTATTTAAATCATTAATATTTGAAAAACATGAATCATATTAAATATATTTATATGTAGATATATTTATTGTAGATATATTTATATGTATTGTATATATATATATATATAGTACTTAAAGTTCTTAACATATTATATTCACGTTTTCGTACTCGTAATACATATACCCATTGGCATTGAAACTTTTCATTCGAGATAATATATGCACATGCTTTATTATCGTCAACTAACATACAATTCAATATTTACATTTATCGCTCTGCTTCCTATGATGCAATGAGATAAGTAATATTTTTGCACAGAAAGTTTTCTCTTTTAGAAAGATATCACTTGTTTAATTGAATATATATATGTATATAACTAAAAATATGAAACACGATTTTTTTTAGATTTCATTATATATTTTTTTAGTTCAAATTTATTTTAAGTGAAAAGAACATATATTCGGAAAACGCAAGAAGCGTTAAAAAAATATTCAACATTCATCCAAAAATAATTCTGAATTTTATAACTTGTATTATTCCTTACCGATAAAATTAATCAAAGTAATTAAAAAACAAATTCGATTTTTTTTAATTATTAATGAATTTAAATCATTATAATTTTAAAGTTTATTAATTTGAAGAATGTTTTAAAATAATTATAATGATATATACATACATGTGAATTGATTAGTTTCTACGAGAAATGTCGAAATCGAATACATATTATATTAATTATCTTGAACGTATAACGAGAATCTTTTATCATATTAATTGTTTATAATATTTATTTATAATAATTTCAAATCATCAATTTAATTTGTAAATTATATAGTCTTGCAAATTACGCATTTCACAAATATGTATATATTGTTAAAAAAAATAAAGTTAAAAGAACTAATTCAATTAAATTTATATTTATTTACTACATTAAGTATATTTATTTCGAATAGTATACTTTTTCAATATTCAATTGTTATATTAGTTTTGAAAAATCTAAATAATCTCTATAATTACATTAAAAAAATAATAAATTTTTTCAGTCGTGCAATAACATAAAAAAAACTATACTATATGTAGACAATGTTTCATGTTGCCAATAGCAATCCATTCTTAGTGTTATTTACCGTTCTGACGTCGTGTCAGTGACACGTGCTATACAAAGCATGGCATTAGGTAATATTCTTCAAAATTTTCTTAATAATTGTTTCAAATAATTTTCTTATCTGCTTAATTTTCTTATCTATTTGTTTATAAAATATTTTTTTATGAATTTGCTTTTAATATAATATTTTTTTTATAAAATATTGACCTATATTTGCTTTGCTAATTTTACTAGAAAAGATTGAATATATGTATCTGTGTAAATTGATATAGTATGTTCATAATACAAAGATAACTTTTTAAAATATAAGATTAAAAATAATAACTTTAAAAATATAATTATTAATTATAATTATAGATAGTCATGCCGCTGTACTTACGGATGTCGAACAATCACATCAATCTAATCCAGATAATCGCGATGAAAGATTAGTAAGTATAATTTATTCAATAAAGTTTAAATTAAAAACAAAAATTGCTTGATAATTTTACGTCAATTAGAAACATCGATGAATTTTATTTTGGAATTTTAAAATCGTAATCTCCATTTAACAGTTCTATAACATTAAATATTTTATATTTTATATAATAAAATAATATAATAATTTATAAATAATTTAAAGATAATAAAATTTTTTTGTTACAAAATATAATTTATAGGTTTTGATTTTTCATTTTGATGATTGAATTATTGATTTTTTATTCAGAAAAAAATTGTCACAAGTTCTCATGTAAAAATTTTTAAATGTGTCGAGCATTTTATAAATACAATTAAAATATTTCTTTTTTATATAATATAGTATTATCATATCTTATCTTTTAATTATTAAATTTTTTTATTCAATTTAAAATTGAAATTCTAAAAATTTGAAATTCAAACAAAAATGTTATATAGAAAATTAAAATATGTATATAATTATCTGTATTAATTATATATGTTGGAATTAATTTATAATTTTATTATTTATCATTATTTTATCAATAAAAGTTTTATCATAATAAAATTAAATGAAATAAATAAAATTTATTTTTAATTAGAAATCAAGTTATTTTCCACTATTATGTATTTCACTTCAATTTAATTTTTTTTCTTTTGATATTATTGTTTCATGTGAAGAAATTTGATAAGCATTCCACTGGTATTCAAGTTCAATAGTTAATCCAATAATAATTATTATAAAAACTAATGAGATAAGGAAGATTTCTCATATATAAAAATATATTATATAATAAAATTCATAAGCAATAATAACATTATTACATGAAACTTTGACAGTTTAAATAACATGGACTTTAATAATTTAAATCCACACTTTATATTTAATTATATTAATTATATTTAATTATATATATTTTTAAAAAATCTTTTATAAGCAATACTTTGCACATACATTTGAGTAACTAAAAAACTGAGGATTTATCTCTACTTTGTAAAAAGTTCTAGTAATGCATGTTTGATTATCTAAATAGTTTCCAGGTTTGCCAGTGATGTGTGGTTTTATTGAGTTTTATTCCATCATTCCATCCAGGCTTTTCCATTATATCACTGATTGGTCTCCCAAGATGCCACACATTATTGCTTATGATGCTTAATTGTTTCAGTGGTATGGTTTTCTGGTTTTACACACATAATAATTTTTTTTTCCTTTTTTTTTTAAGAGAGGGATAGGTGAAAAACTCACCTAGAAAAATATAAACTTAGCAATATATTTTATCATATTATTTGCAATAATAATTACATAAATTATGTTATATGATTTATTGTACTGTACCATCGCATATCATATATTATATGCTAAAATATTTTAATATATATTATGAGCACATCATAGATTTTTATTTTTATAAATAATCACATATGCTTTATATATGTTATATAACATTTTTTTATAACTTCATTTAATTTTCATTAACTCTTTGTAAATTAATTTTACTTCGTAAATTAAAATAATTTAATGTGGTACAGTTATAGGTAAAACTAAAATTATTAGTGGATATTAAAATGTCACCAATCCACCTCTTTTCATTTTTCTTAATATAATTTTAAAATAATATCATTATTTTATATGTTTTAATCTTTTATTTTCATATAAACTGAGCACGCAGGAATTGCTTTTATTGTTTAATTTTATTTTGCAATAAAAAACGAGCTTCATGTTGCAAATTAAATATTTATGAATATGTAATAATTATTTGAATATATTTATTTTATAATCAAATCTTAGAATAAAAATATATTTTTTTTTTTATATTTTTTTAGGTACCAGGAGGATGGACCATTACATTAGCTTTAGCAGGTGTTACCTGTTGTTTAGGATCAGCTGTACCAACAGGATTTAACATAGGAGTATTAAATAATGCAGCCTATGTTAGTATTTGTATTTATACTTTATAAATACTTATAAAAAATACTTTTAATACTTTTATTTTATTTATGTTAATTATAGCTAGTGGAAAGGTTTTGTAATGAAAGTATTAAAGAGAGATATAATATAAATATATCTGAAAATGGTTTAAAAATAGTTTGGTCTGCTGTTGTGTCAATTTTTCTTATTGGTGGAGCAATTGGTTCATTTTTATCTAGCTGGGTAGCAAATAAATATGGAAGGAAAGGAGCATTATGTGTTGGCCATATATTTGGCATTATAGGAGCTACAATGTTTTTTTTAGTACAGAAATTAAATTCAATTGAACTTCTTTTAATAGGCCGATTAATTGTAGGTAAGTTTTGTTTTAAAAAATTTAAAAAATTTGGAGTAATTTTTATAAAATTTATTATTAAAAAATTATATATGTCTCTAGGTCTTTCTGGAGGTTTTGCAACATGTTTAGTTCCAATGTATATGACAGAAATTGCACCACTTAGACTAAGAGGTGCAGTTGGAGTTATTTGTCAATTAGGAATCTCATGTGGAGTATTTTTAGGTCAAATTGCGGGACTTAATACAGTTTTAGGAACTGAAAACTCTTGGCATTATATGCTAGGTGCATTTGTTCCATTATGTATATATGCCCTTGTTCTTACAAGCATTATTCTACCAGAAAGTCCTAAATATTTATATATAATCAGGGAACAAAAGCAAAAAGCTTTAGATGGTTTGTAACTATTGGAAATAATGTATAATAATTTATGTACAAACCACTCAGAAGCTAAATTAATGAGAAATAAATTCCACTTTTTAAAAAATAATTTATTCTATTTACAAAATTTAGAATCAGTTCTTTCAATTCTATTTGGAATTAAAAGATTAACTAGAGAATTAAAAGATGAAGCTGATAAATTTAACTTCTACGTGGTATATATTTACAACAATATCATAAAATCATTTTAATATTTCAGAACTTAGTAGAATACGCAAAATGGATATAATGCTGTTACAAATAGAAATTTCTGATTTACAACAAGAAATAGAAACAAAAACAACAGCTGAACCTTGGACAATCAAACGTATTTTGAAAGATTCAAATTTAAAACTTCCTATATTTTTGGTTTGTATAATACAATTTGGTCAACAAATGAGTGGTATAAACGTTGTATTTTATTATTCTAACTCAATATTTCACGATGCTGGACTTGGCATCACTGGAGCACAATATGCTACTCTTGGAACTGGTATAGCTAATATTGCTATGGCTCTTGCTTCAGTACCAGTGATGTCATCTTTAAATAGGAGAGGTGTTCTACTTACCAGTATTTATTTGTGCTTCGGATGTTTGATACTTTTATGTATTTCTACATTATTAATTGTGAGTAAAATTGCTTTGGATAAAAATAATTTATAGAAACAATTGAATGTTTAGTAAATAATTTTATATTTTTATATAGCATGTATCAACTTATATGCCATTAATATGTATCATAGCTGTTGTGGCTTATGTAATATTTTATGGAATTGGTCTTGGTCCAATACCATATTTCATTGGATCTGAATTATTCGATGTTGGTCCCAGACCAGTAGCTATGGCGCTTGGTAGCGTTTTCAATTGGGGTGGAAATTTTATAGTAGGCATGATGTTTCCAACAATAGAAAATATTATAGGAGCATATACTTTTTTAATCTTTGTCGGATTTCTTTTATTCTTAGGATATATTATCAGGTATATAGTAAAATACTGATTTACAATATAATCATCTATAATATATTGTTTAATAATATATATAAATATTAATCTATTTAGAATATACTTACCTGAGACTAGAGGAAGGAATACAATGGATGTGGCAGCATCAATAAGTCAAGGATTTAATTCCAGACCAAATTCTATACATGGCACTTAAATTTAAAAAAAAAATCGGTATATAAATTTCTTATTTTAACATCTTTTTTAATAAATAGATAAATCTAGAATTTTTTGTTATAAGTTTTATATAAATAAGTAAATTATTTAAGTATATGAATATTTTTACGATTTAAATAGGAAATTTACTATAATTTTATCCATTATTATCTATAAATTACGAAATAATTGATTTATTAACATACATAATATATAATGTTGATTTTATTCTATTTTTTATCAGGTTTAAATAATTACAGAAATAATATTTTGATAACATTATCAAAATATTTTTTAGATTAATGAAAGAATTAATTATTGAGAAAATATACATTTAATTGACATTAGGATATTGTTATAAAATATCCAAATAAATAAGTCAATGTTTTTAAGTATATACATAAATATCACTAAAATGTGAAACTCATCACTGCCTATGTAAGAAATTAATTTATTTTTTCATATTATATTGTACTTTATACAACAGTTTAAAAATTATAAAATTTTTTCTTCCTACATATTTTAAAAATTTAATTATGTGCTAATTTTGAAATATATTATAATATAATTGATCTAATTTTTCATAAAATACTAAACATAATACAGTATGTGGTGCTATTCTCATCCATGTAGGAAAAATTCCTTTATATAAGCCAATCAGTCCTTCTGTTCGTACTATTTTAACAAATGCATCCAAAAGTCCATTATATAATGTACCTTTTCCTTCTACATCCATTCCTATATCATTTTTTATTGTAAATTTATAATAAATTTATCATTAAAAATTAGTTTCAAAATATAATTAATAAGTAAATTACTTACGTTGATTGTACAATCTTGTTGCTAAAACATCAAATGGTTGTATAGTGAATGCTACACAACTTCCACCAATTACGGAAGCAAAAAAAGTTAACAATATTGGTTGATTTGTAAATACCTTAAAAAAAAATATGAGATATATTTTGATTTAGATTGCATTTTATATAATAATCATTTAAATATTCACTTGTGATGAGCGCAACCAATCTGCAGCTAAATCAAAAGTGGTTAATTGTGTCGCAGATCCTATAAAAATACGTGGTATACCAGCATACCAGCCACGATACAAAGCAACTATTCCACCTTCTTTCCATAGAGATTTGAATGCATACCAAGTGCCCAAATAATTATGTTGATAACCAACAGCTATAGATTGTGCTGATTGTGCTTGTAATTGCGTTTTTATCTATGACAAAAAAATGATCATATTGTTTATTTTTAATTAATAAGATAAATTTTAATTATTTTGATATATTAATATATCAATTTTAATATAAATTATTTATATTATTCTAGAATAATTTACAAAATAATAAATAAAATTTACCATATAAAACGGACTGCCAAGAACAGCTCCAATACATCCAGCTGTACCAGTTACTACTGCAGTCTTTATAATATCAGTATTTCCTGAATCGTTAGTAATTAACTCATATTTTTTTGCTGTATTGTATATACCTAACCGTATTCCATTGAGCACCACTTGAAAATATAAAGCCGGTATAATACCGGCTTGTAAAGCACATATACCTTCATGTTTTGCAATTAAATAGCCTGCATGTAGAGTATTCTTATATATTTTTTTATATGTACGGCGTGCTTCAAGCTCTCCTTGTAATTGTAATCGTACTTTTATTACATCAATTGGATTCGTAAAAAATCCAGCTCCCACTGCAGCTAATCCTCCAATTACAAATTCAATACCTGGACTAATAAAATCTAGAATTAATAATTATCTTAAAATTATTTTACCATAAATATATTTTTTTATAAAAATAATTTTTTCAAAAAATCGTTAATATACAAGCAATTTAAAATGCGCGCGAAAAAAATATTTTATTTTAAAAATAGCATATAAAGCTATTTAACTTTTAGAATTTATTTAGAACAATATTTAATTATAAAAAAATGCAATATTAATTATTTATAAATTTTAATATAATTTATTCTATTATATTACAATACACATAAGCATAGATAAAGATTAGTAATATTCAACTAATATTGAATCAAAAATTACTAAATTTTAAGCTTTATTTTTTATTTTATTTATTAATTGGTTAATATAAATTAGTAAATTATTAGTGAAATAAAATTTTCTTTACTTTTTAATACAAATTATAATAATATTAAATAAAGTCATATAATTTTAAATATAAGTTCTTAGTGCAATAATTAATGTGGCTAACAAAAAAATTTTGGTTACAAAATTAGAAATCATATTTTAAGTTTTGAAAATAAGAATGATTAGCACTAAAAATGTCTTACCAAAGTTAAAAATTACATTACACTTATTGAATTAAACAAACAATAAAACACGAAATAAAAAATTGATTAAATCAATCAAATAATTAAGTCATCACTGACCAGTTAAACGAATTCATAACTAGAGTATATATGTAAAATAATCATGATCAAATATAAATTTTAAGATATTAAAGAACATAGAATTAAATAAGTTAATATATTTAATATTGAAATTCGTATACAACTTTCGAGATTAAATATTTAATAATATACTCATATTTGACCGGCCGGTTTTAGATACAAAGTTTATTGCATAACTATTACTATAAGTACATATATGTATGTATATATAAGAATAATATCAGAGTTAGCACGAACTGAAACTATGATCTGCTAGAAACTCGTAATCAAGTAGTAATAGCTTACGATTTAGAAGCGTTTGAGTTCGGCGCTGCAGTCATTTTACATATACAATAATAAAATGTTCCTGTATATGCGATTATTAAGTACGAATCTAAGTGAAAGCACTTAAATGATTCAAGAAATATCGGTACTGTTGCTCTTTTTAAGTTCATCATTGAACTGACTCCTAAAACTGTAGAATTACATTGTTCTTTATAGATAACTATTGTATGAGATAATTTCAAAGTACATGTAATATTTCAAGGTCAATTTAAAAGTCATGAGTCATTAAAAAATCTAAATAATAATTTTTATATCATTTTGTAAGAGTATAATATCAATAAAAGAAATAGAAATAATATTTACGTAATTGTGTAAAATAATATTGATACATTTATTTTAAAAATTCAATAAGTTATAACATTTAATAATTTTTGCGGTAATATATATTACATATATATTACCGCAAATATATATAATATCGTTTTCACTTAGAATTATTATTTTAATTAGAATTTCATAAAAATTATTTAAAAGTTATTTATAAAATTTATTATAATATTAAATATAATATTTATTTATTTATTTAAATATAAAATATAACAATTATATGTAACAAATGTTCTGAAAATATATTTTATAAATTTAATAACAAAAACAATATAATAATACATTAAACTTTTAATATTTTTTTATTGATATTTTTTAATTTTTAATTGTTATCAACAAACTTATAGAGTATTTCAAAATGTTATTTTTTAAAAATTTAGAAATTTTTTTAATTATAAGATAAAAAATGTAAAAAAAAATTTGTTTATAGCAATTGAATTATTATAGATATAAATTATAAGCATTTTTCTAAGCACTTTCAAAAAGCAAAATGAAATCATAATTATATGCAGACACATATATATGATATCAAATTTATGCTTTGTTTTCTAATCCTATGTATTTACAGAAAATTTATTAGTAAATACTATTGAACAATTAAAACATATATTTAAAAAATATATTATATATATTATTTTTTACTTTTATTATATATGTATATATTTTTTAATCTATTTATGTAATCATTTCATATTAAAGCTATGTTATATATTAATTAATTATAAAAACTATTGTGCTTTTTTTATTATCTTCTTTATGCTATAATACATTTAAAAAACTTTTTTAATGTTTAAATTATGCAACAGACAAACTTCCACCAGCTTTAGAAATCTTAGCAATTTCTTCTTTGAATTTAGCAATTGTTTCCTTTGCTAATGTCAATTTTTCCTTAAGATCTATGACTTCCAATCTTATTTTATTTCTTGCTTCTATTATTGCTTTCATTGTAGATTCCTTTTTAGCTTCAACTATATAATAAAATAAAAATAATTTTCATATATAAAATGTTATTAACTCAATTAATTAGTACTTACAATCTGTATTATGACGCCAAACACCAAGAGTTATAGGTCTATTAGAATTCAATAAATGTTGCATTAAAGCTGTTGGATCTTGAAAAACTATTTCTTCATAAAATTCAGACACTAAACTTTTTTTTCCCAATTGTATCTCAGGTGTTGTTTGAAAAAGTTTTAATATGTGATATATGGTTACCTATTCAAAGCAATAAATAATTTGAAATTTATATTATATAATATAATAATTCTTATATGATATTATAATTCATATATTTAAAATATACTCACAGGACGTTCATTAGGATCATGAAAATATATTTTAATAACTATTTCAAATTCTCCCCAACCAGTTTCAGTGAGTTCATAAGGTGGTTTAGTCATAATACGATTAGGATTGTTATAGCTTTCATGTAATTTAAAATGTACTTTTTTAACATATGTAGACATGTCTTCATTAAGATATGGTTTAACATATACAGTCCATTGATGAGTATGTCCATCTTCTTCCCTTTTTTTACCAAAATATCGAGCTACATTACCATATACAATTGGTTTTACTATTGTAACTCCCTAAAAATATACTCAATAAAATTTAATAATAATCATTTAATAATAATCATAATTTACTCTTTTTCAATTTTATAACAATGTAAAAAATTGAATAACTATTATTATTATTATATTTAAAATTTATTTATTATTTTATTTATATATGCATAGGTTAGAAATATAAAAAGTGATAAATTTTTCATAAATTATTTTTAATAAAAATTTACCTTAACTCTACCACCAGAATCAGGACCAAATTCATTAGTTGTTGCCATCATTGTCATTAATTGTGTTCTTCATTATATAGTTTAAAAGAAGAGTAAAAAAAATAGAATATCAACAATAATATCAATGATAACAGTGTTATCTATTCGCTACTAGCGCTCTCTGGTGTAGCATCAATAATATTAAAGGTATGTTTATTAAAGATATGTCATAAAAAAGAATAATATTCGAAAATTTATGTTTATTTTAGACGAATATTAAAATTAAAGAACAAATTATTGATTTCAAATACATGTATTTTCTTGTCATGAAGGGCATTAAAAAAATATGTACACTTTTCTTAAAATAAATTATACTTCAAAAAGTTTTCAATCTTTCACACAGCAGAATCTCGACAAAATTATTTTGGAATTTATACCCTTATATCAGCAATTAGATTATCATGTAAGGCGATTAACTTTTTTTGAAATATAATATAATTTTCATTCCACAATAGTTTCTATATAATATATTTATGATTCAATTATTTTTGATTATATTACATATAGCTCGATAAATCGCCAAAACATGATAACAATAAAATATTTTTATAAAATACATAAATATGTATTTTAAATATGTATTATATGTATAATTTTTTTTTTTTTATACATACATAAACATCGCTATATGTATAACCACTATATTCTTTAGAAATTATATATATGGAAATCGATTTTTTTTTATTAATGATTAATAAACAACACAAAATATATAGTAAATCAAACGCTAGAAACAAATAATTTTAAATATAATTCTCAAAATTTTTTTAAATTTTATATATAATAATAAAACTCTGAATTGAAACTAATTTATATAAGTGGTTATATATTCATTTTAATTTTTACAGGATTCTTTTAATGATTTTAATTAATAAAATATCTATCTTTTCAAACATATTTTTGAAAATCTAAAAATCAAAATTTAATATATTGTAGCATTATATTGTTAAAAAATTGAACAAAAAAAAACTTTAATCATATAACTCGTATAGAAACAACATCGCTTGCTGTCAGATATACTTCGTCTAAAACTTTTTAAAGTGTACAAAGCTAAATTGGATGCTCGTTGCATCGTGCAAAGGCAGCCAGCTGCCGAAAGAATGCTGTCTTCAGCATCTTATAATGACGATTAAAATTAGCTCTGTCATGCTATAATGTCGTTGTTATCACGTGCGAAGCAATTTTTCTTTTCTTCGGAATCGTTCTTCAAGATATCCTGGGATCTGAAAAGAGTTTCATAAGGACCGTTATAAAATTTGCACAATGGTCCATATGTAAACAATATTCTACTACATTTCTACGTTTATATAACAGAAATAAAAAAAACTTAATTCGCATATAAATTATTAAGCAGATATAGATTTAATAAGTTTTATAATCACGTCGTACCGTTAAAAAATATATATACATATCGCTAAAATATATATCATATATATATTTTATGTGCATGTTCAGATCATAAATGCAAATATAAAAAAAAATTTTTTTTATCTTCACGGTATTTACAAATTATAATGATCAACGTTCATTCAAATAAATATATATAAACCGCAACTATACAACTTTATTAAATAAATTGTAATAAATTTTGTGTACGTTTTATGGTGGCGATATGTTTTAATTATAGATCTATACAGTCTATTTTAACAACAAACTTGACATTATTAATATATATGACTAATCATCGTAAATTAATATTTATCATTATATGCATTATATAAATTTACACAAAACTATTTCTATATGTTACTATTACAATATAATAAATTAAATATGAGTATCTGAAATTATATTCGTATCATTACTCATATCGAATCGCAATTCCGATAATTTGAAATGTTCCAATATTCGTGATTCAGATATTTGTACATCTCTAATAATAATAATTATGAGCGTGGTACGACATCTCAATTTTAATTTTTAATAAATCTTCATGCTAATTTAATGAAAAAAAATGCATGCGATATAATTTTTAATTTATAAAGCTTGAAATTAAATAACTTTTAGGATATATTAAATTAAGATTAGATACGAGAGAAAGTAGTCCCAATCCACTAATAGTCAGGCATTCTGAGAACATTAAAACATAAAAAAGGAATTGAGGTTTTATTTTAAGAGCAGCAAGCAAAATAAGAATGTCTCAATTTTTTCTATTTTTGCTTAATAAAAAGATATATTTACAAATGAGAAAGCAATTGTTAATATTCAATTCTAATTATTCTACCTTTGGTTTTGGTCGATGTGTATCCACTGCATCAATTGGTAATCGAATATGTTCCACTTTACAACCATAAGCAACAGGTGTTAATTTAATAATAGTATGTAATGGAACTTGTAAATATGGTAATTCATCTAGAAAAAGAATATAGTAACTCATTTAGAATAAGAAAATTTTAGAAAATGAAAAAAATTTTTTGAATCATAAAATAAAATAAGAAACAAAATCACTATTGAATTGTTAAGCAATGATTCGAAATTTCGAACAAATTGCGATTACGAAACACAAGAACAAATTACGTTTATACTCTGCGCAATTTATATTAATAAAATTATGTAAACAAAAATTATGTAAGAATGTCTCATTCTTAACATTTCGTTATTTTTACATATTTATTTTTCTAATTTATTTTAATTCATAGAAGATCAAAAATTACAAAACAATTTCGATATTTGTTATTCAAATATATAAGTACACATATCTTGATTTAATATAATGTAAATATATCATGTATATGCATTTTATTTATCGTTTTTCTATTGTTTATGGAATGGTATATTTAGATATATTTACCCGCATTTTTGTCTAGGAAATAAGCAAGTAGACATCGTAAAACCGCTTGGTGGCTAACAACTAGAACGTTACCTTGCCGTTCTAGTTCCATTATTACCGGTTCTAGTCGTGCAACTAAATCTTCATAACTTTCTCCTCTTGGATAACGATAAGAGAATTTATTTTGATCTCTTGCAGCAAAATCTGTTGGATATTTTTCTGCAATTTCTTCATATGTCATTTCTTCGCAAATACCCTGTGTAAGTATAGATCAATTATCATCATAGTTTTATGTGCAAATATTTTATTATAAATAAAGATAGAAGACATTTGTCAAAAAATAAAACAAAAATAATTATTCTTTATAACTTACTGCATCAATCTCGTTTAGCGCCTTCCACCTTTCTTGAGGCGCATTCACGTCGCTTGCCGTTTGAATGGTTCTCTTTAACCAACTAGTCCATACTCGCAATCCCTATAATCATAAAAAATATTATTTTCTTCTTTTTAAACAAAAGATTTTTCTCTTTTATTTTATACCTGAATATCTTGGCTAGTAATATAATTAGACAATGCTTTGGCATATTCCCAGCCTCTTTCGCTTAACACTGAATCTCCACCTATTTTACTTTCAAGGTTCATCACACTTTCGCCGTGCCTAGTTAAATAGATCGTACGTGGCACTATATGGATGTTCATAAGATAATAAACTATCCTACTTTGTATGTGACCTTCATGTTTATGGACTAGCACTTTTTCGCCAGTGTTGTAAATTTTCATAAAAGAAAGGTCGCTTTCTTGAGCTTCATCCAGTGGTTGATATTTTTCTTGATAATGTTCAATTCGTAGCATGAAGTCTGCCAATACTTCTTCTTTATTCATATTTGCGTAATCTGGACTACTTACTTTTACCTAAATGAATAAAAGTTTTATTTATGATCAGTATCATCACAAATTATTGGAATTAGTTCAGAATTAATACTATAAATAAAAAAATTTAATAAAAATAAAAATGATATTTAAAAATAATATATTTAAGTTTATATATTAAGATAAATTAATAATATAATTATTATTGAATTCATAATATAATTATTATTGATTTTAGAAAAGCAGTTCTTACTTCCATGATATTTTGCTCAACGATTTCAGGATCATTACAGACAGACTCAACAAAAAAAAGTTTAAATCCCATTTTCTCAACTACAATGTTTCTAATAAGTTGTCGTCTTTCGATAGTAGAATTGGTAGCATCAAATACAGCCACTTCTCCATCTCCGCTTTCCAACCATTGACAAACATCTTTAAGAGCATCCATCGCACACTGAGTACGTATTGCCATTGCCTTAATATTATCAGGACGGAAAAATTCATGGCATTGATAAGCAGTAGTTGCATGTCGTCTATATTCCCCTAAATTGAACACCTTTGTACTTATACCGATCCAATTGAGATATCTGCATAATTTTTTTGAAATATATGTCTTGCCACGGGCAGGTAATCCTACCATAGCAATCACATGTGGCTTATTTACAAAATTAGCTCGTTCACCTGTAATTATCAAGCATTATAGATAAAAGAAAATTTCATAATCATTTTTATTATTGTTAATCATTTTGAAAAAAGTATTTTTTAGATTTAATTTTGAATTGAATGTTCAATTATAATTATCAATTAATGTTGAATTATAATTATATCATTTATTGTATTAACTAATTAGGAATTATAATATATTATAATTAGGAATTATTTTAATCATCAAGACAGAAATTAACTTTTTTTTTTAGATGCAATTATTAATGATATTGTTTATCTAATAGAATATATTGTTTTAATATATTGTTTTTCTAATAGAAAAAATAGAACAAGTGATTTCTGGTAATATCAATTTGATATTGTAATCTTGTTTGATATATATGTACAAGATAAGTTTTTTATTTATCTTATAAAATATAATAAATATAATAAATACATACATATCTTTATCTTTATTATTTTCGTGATATAATAATATAGTATTGTTCTTTGAAAATAAAAAAATTATCATATCAATTCATTATAAATGTTGTTTCATAATAAATTGCATATTCTATTAAAATATTTTATAATTGATTATAACTTCATAAAGATTAGATTCAGAATTGGTTATGGTATATTTATATCATTTGTTTTCAACATGCTTTAAATTTATATAATATTAAAATGAATCTAGATAAATTTATATAATTTTAAATTAGTATTATTAATGAACTTATTTATTTTTGCCAGCTTAGAATATATCAATAATTGATTTGAAATTGCAATGAAAATTGAGCAATTTCAATA